AACTGTATTTTATACCTAAAATGTACCAATAAACTTAATGGGTGAAAAAAAGACTACTCATTCCTTAGGGGTATCAGCCTACATACAGAGGCAAAAAGGGAATGGCAGGCAGATAAGCTAAGAGAGGTACTGGCTGTTTCTGGACTGTTTGGGGCTCACAATCCAGAGTGCTCACCTGTAACCTGGTGCATCATGACCCTCCAAAACTGTGAGCTCAATAGACCTCTTTTCTTTACATATTACCCAGCTTCAGGTATTTTGTTATAGCAATGAGAAAAGGACTCATGAAATGTCTATGCACTCATGAAATCACAAAATTGATGGGAAGTTGATGGAAAGAGAAGTAGAGGCAGTGGAGGGGGAGTGGGTAAGTATCAACTCAGTTTTAAGAAGTTCAGATTTTATGTCAAAATATCCTGGGCTCAAGGGTAGGTGTTATGGTTTGGGTCTGGATGGGCCCTCAAAGCCTCATATGGTCATAGGTAGCTTTTTCAGAGGTGGCTGAATCTAGAGTGTGTGATGCTGGGATTAAGGGTGTGTGATTACTAAACCAATACACGGATTGGTTTGGTACCACCCTAATCCCGGTTGTCTGCATAAGACAAAAGGGGCAGAAAGGCACAAGTAAGGTTCCCTTGTTGCTTCTGCTGTCTTCCACTGCCATGAATTGTTGTCCCTTTGCTATGTGCTACCCTGCCTTGGAGCCAGCCGATAATGGGCTGAATCCTCTACAAACTGTGAGCTAAATAAACCTTTTGTCCCTTTAAACTTGAATGTCAAATATTTTGTCTCAGCAACAAGAAAAGTAACTAAGACCGTAGGTGTCAATATTTAGACATGGTAGCCTGGAGATGGGGATATCAAAACAGGCTAGACTTGTCAACATGTGGCAGCCATTGGGTTTCTGAGATTAGCTGATGACCAAGAGCATACCCATGTGTGCAGCTCGAGACCCGAGGCATGAAGCTGGGAAAGAAAAGGTGAGGCTTCTCCTTTGCCCCTGGAGCCACAGGCAACTGGACTAGGAGGCTGCAGGAAGAACAGGTCATGAAACTGGGCTCACCTGTGTCATTTTAAAGAGTAAATGAGGGGGAAGATGCATCTGGCACAGATGCTAGAATGAAGCAGGGGCTTTTCCATGACTGGGTGTCTCAGTACCTCTGACAATGGGAAGGGTGGTCGGGGAGCCACAGCCGGTGACCAAGAAGAGCGGTGTGTTTGGTCTTGTTCTGTCTGTGCTGAGACATTAGCAGGCAGCTACGCTCTATCTACAGGGCACCTTGCCCGAGTGAACTCGGTGCCCATCCCCGAGAGAAGTGCCTCCCTGCCAGCTTGCAACTGCCCCAGCTGTGCCTGTGCTGTGGTCTGGAGGTTGAGTGTCCCTAGGAGGCCACATATGGAAGCTGTGGTCCCTGGAGAGGTGCTATTGGGAGGTACTGGAGCCTTGGAGAGATGGGGCCTGTGGTCCTGGGTCACTTGGGGTGTGGTGCCCCCTACGCCTCTGTTTGCCTCTTGGCTGATGGAGTGGTTTCACTTCAACATGTTCCCACCATGATGCTGTCTCACCCCAGGCCAAAAATCAATGGGCCAACCAAGGACTGGACTCTCCAAAACCATGAGCCTAAGCAAATCTTTTCTTTAATTATTTCAGGTATTTTGTTACCTAACAGGAAGCTAACACACCTGCTATGTCAAATTTCATTCCTCACGTGGAAGGTAAAGGAGGAGGCAAAGTGGCAGTGAGAAGGAATGTGAAGCGGCCTTGTCAGGAGCCTTGACCATGCACTGACCACAGCTGTCACACTGTGTTGCAAGGAAACGAGGTAATTCTGGGCAACAAAGACAAGGTAGGGGGCATCACAATCCCCAACTTGAAACTATACTACAAAACCACTGTGATAAAAACAGATGGTACTGGCATCTGAGAATCAATGGAACAGATTAGAAGATGCAGAAACAACTCCAGACACACCCAGCCACCTCATCTTTGACAGGAACCAAACACCCTCACTGGAGGAAAGACAGCCTATTTAATGAATGGTGCTGGAAAATCTGAGTTTTTCTTTCTTTAATCTTGCCAAAGACTAAAACTAGACCCATTCCTATCACCATTCACTAAACTAAGATTGAAGTGGATTAAAGATATAACTATTAAGACAGAAACACTAAACTTGCTGGAAGATAACTTAGGTAGAACTCTTGAAGACATTGGCATAGGAAAAGACTTTATGAACAAAACCGCAGGAGCACGAAAACTAGCACAAAGAATCAACATCTGGGATCTCATCTTATTAAAAAGCTTCTGCACTGCAAGAGAGACCACCAACAGAGTGGACAGACAACCTACAATGTGGGAAAAAATTTTACCAGCTGTTCCTCAGACAAAGGACTACTATCTAGAATCTATAAAGAACTTTAAAAAGTCAGACCCCCAAATTCAAAGATCCAATCCAAAAATGGGCTTCTTAAATGAACAGATATTTCTCAGATGAAGTAGAAGCAGCAAATAAACATGAAAAAAATGTTAAACATCACTGGTCATTCAAGAGATGCAGATGAAAACAACACTGAGATTCCACCTCACCCCACAAAGAGTGGCTGCTACCAAGAAATCAACCAATAACAAATGCTGGCGGGGGTGTGGAGAGAAAGGAACCGTTCTCCACTGTTGGTGGGAGTGTAGACTGGTGCAACCACTGTGGAAGTCAGTATGGAGATACCTCGAAGAACTAGAACTACAGGTCCCATTTGACCCCGCTATTCCCCTACTGGGCATCTTCCCAAAAGAATTAAAAGAATCATACCACAGCCATATCTGTGCACCCATGTTCATAGCGGGACAGTTTGTAATAGCTAAAGCTTGGAAACAGCCCAAGTGCCCATCACCTGGAGACTAGATAAAGAAGATGTGGGGTTTTGTTTTGTTTTTTTAATAAAATGGAGTATTACTCAGCCATAAAGAAAGTTAAACTTGAGACATTTATAGCTAAATGGATGGACCTTGAGGCGATACTCTTAAGTGAAATAAATAGCACACACGTGTAAATACCAAATCATTTCTCTGGTGTGAGAAACTGAAAGTGTAAATGAGGACCAAAATGTATAATAGGTATTGTGAAACAGGAAGAAAATGTTCAAAGGGGAAGGGGAACTAGGGAGCAGGAGCAGGGGAAAGAAAAGAAGGGAAAGGAAACAAATTGAAGAAAAGAAGGAAAAAAAGAAACAAAGCGTAGTTATACAGGGAAGGGTGGAGGGACTGAAGGAAGGGCAGGGGAATGGGGAAAAAATAAGAACCAAGATATATCATGTACAGGTACAAATTCCCAATGATGAATGTGATCCAAAGCAGACCTAAGTGTACCAAAGGAACGAGCTGCCGGGACAACCACAGCCCAGGTGCCAGTGGCCTACCATCATCTTCGGCCACGTGCCAGGACCTCCAGCGTCCTCAAGGAGACGCCACAGGTGGCACACAGGAGCGCCTTTCGCCCTGGGCACGTTTTTGTTCGAGCTGTGTGTGCCTGGAAGTCCTAGAGCGCTGGTACAACGAGCGGGCGCAGGAGGTGACCCCGCCTGCCAGGAGGGCTGATTGGGTCCCCAGGACCCTCGTGCATGCTGGGGGAAGGCAGCGCTCTCCGAAAGGCGATGGACGAGCGCTGGTGGAGGTGGGACTGCTGGGGGGCCTCGGGGTCACCTGGAGGTGCTCCCCTCCCCTCTGCTTCTTGGTCACCCTGCACGCAGCAGCCCTCCCCCTCCCAGCCTTCCACCGTGCCACCTTGTCTTAGAGCCAGCGACCATGGACTGAAACGGGAGCCACCCGCAACCTCTCCTTTTATTTGTGGGTGTTGGGTCTGGTCTCCCAACCACGGGACGGTGACCGAGATGGTGCCCCAGCCAGGCAGAAGGGCCGGGATCCTGGCACAATCGCGAGGCCCGCGCACAGGTAGCCCGCCAGGCTCCGGGGCGGCGCGGTCGATCAGTGCGGCGAGGCCAGGCCGTCAGCGCTCCGCCGCCAGGTGGCGCCTCTTGTACAGCAGCGCGCGCCGCTTCTCGCGCTCACGCACGAAGGCGCGCAGGCGCACGGTGGGGAAGGCCACGGGCGCCGGCCGGGTGCCGGGCGGTCCCTCCTCCGTCAGCCACGGGCTCTGCAGGCAGCCGGAGGCGCAGGGCCGCGCCCTGGGAAGGAAGGAGTGCGAGTGAGTCTGCGGGTGGGAGCCGGCCAGAGGGGGCAGGACCAGAAGAGGGGTGGAGGGGGCACCCGAGGGCGGGGGGGAGGACAGGTCTGGGCACTAGGGAGGGTCGGGGACGGGGTGGGGCTTGCAGGGGCTGCTTACCAGGGCTGGGTGCTCAGCGCTCCCCGCAGGAAGGCCACGGCGCCGCCCGACAGCCCCGCGTAGCAGCGGCTCAGCCGGATGAGCCCCTTGCGCAACCCCTTCTGCAGGTCGCGGGGCCCCTCGTCGCTCACCGGGTACTCGGCACTCAGCCTGTGTGGGGAGAGGGCCCTGTTAGCACCACGGGTGGGGGTCACTTAGGGTGGCGCCGGGCTCTGAGGTCGCCCTGCCTGTCCACTTGGCGCCTCCCATGACAGCTGGACTCACATGATGAAGGTCGTCACACCGATGGCCCAGATGTCCGTCTGCGGGACAGCCCCTTGGCTGTCTAGGAGCTCCGGAGCTGCGAGGGGGCACAGTAGGGGCACCCGCACATGGGCACAGATGGGTGGGCTCAGATGGCGAGCACAGGTAGAGACAGACAGGGGTGTGGGCCCAGGTCGGGGGACAGGTCGGGGCACAGGTAAGAGGGTGGCAGGCTGCTGGGGCGGTGTGAGGTGAGTCAGGCGGGACAGGTGAAGAGGGGCTCCCTGCTGCCCCCCAGGCTGGGTGCCCACAGCTGCCTACCCCTGCCCACACACATACCCATGGTCTCCAGATAGTCCTTGAAGCTCTCGGGGGGCAGCACCTTCTCCTGGTGGAGGCTCTGGGCACTGCCCAGGTCCACGACCTTAAGCAGATTGTACTCCGTGATCATCATGTTCTCAGACCGCAGGTCCAGGTGCAGGATGTGCTGTGCGTGCAGGTACTGGGTGGCGCTCAGCATCTGCCACAGGTAGTCCTTCACCTCGGACTCAGAGTAGGAGGCCCTAGGCGCAGAAGTGGCTCAGTGCAGGCACCAAGGTGGGGGCATGCAGAGACCCGCACCTCAGTGGCTTGAGAGGGACTGCCCAGCTCTGCGGGCCCCAGCAGGGAGGTCAGCCAGGATGCGGTGGGCCACAAGCCTGCTGTCCAGCTGTCCACCTGCCCGGCCAGCCTGTGCCACCCCTCACCTCTCGGCCAGGCTGGGGAGCAACTCGGGCCCCGAGCACAGCTCCAAGATGAGCACCAGGTGGCGAGGGCTGAGGTAGGCAGCATGCAGCTGGGCCAGGTGTGGGTGGCATAGTCTCTTGAGGGCCTCGTACTCCCGGAGCACGGCTGTCTTGTCCGCAGGCCGGTAGGGTACAATCTTAGCAGCCAGGGCCCGGCCACTGGCCTTCTCCCGGCACTGCCGTACCACACTGAAGCGGCCCCTGGGCAGGTGTGACACCAGGAAGGTGAGCCCCGGAGAAGCAGGGGCAGAAGGGCAGCAGGCCATGGGCAGATGCATGGGGAAGAGGCGTGGGCCAAGGGTACATGGGGCGGGGACAGGCAGCGCTGTGGGGAGGACCCGCCGTGGTCCCCGGAAGCCTCACCTCCGGATCTGCGTCTGGAAGGCGAAGGTCTTGGTGCCGGGCAGGGGCTGGGCTGGCCGCCCCCCACCACTCTCCTCCTCGGGCACTGCGGGAAGGCAGGTGACGGTCAGGGTGGGCCCTGCGCAACTGCAGCTGTTCCCAGGCACCAGACAAAGCCCCTGCTCCAGCTCCCACGCACTCCGACTGATTCCTCCCGACCCGGGATGAAGGGTGGGGCCCCAGCAGGCAGTGCCAGCCCCCCCGGGTGACGGACAGCTTGGCCCTTGCAGGACAGTGGGGACAGCACTAATAACCGGTCACACTGCCCTTTCTCTGGATTCACACACAGGCCTGGCGCTCAGGGCCACACAGCATGGGTTCGTGGCTCCCAGCAGGCGGGGGTTGAGGGACAAGGGAGCCCAGGAGGGCGCAGGCCTTGGGTGCCAAGTGGAGGTGGCTCTCTCTCCCAGGAAGGTGTAGCCACCCCAGCCAGCCTGTCCCTGTCCCTGTCCCGGGGGGCGACTCACCCAGGCAGCTGGGCCCTCCCAGGAGGACCTGCTCTGAGGGGCTGCTGTAGGGACCCATGCCTGCCTTGCTGACGCACGCAGTGCGGAAGGTGTAGACTCCGCCCCGGGGCAGCTTGCTGGTGAGGTAGCAGCAGTCGAAGATGTCGGAGGCCAGTGTGGTCCAGCTGCCACCTGGGCCCAGGGAAGCCATGAGAGCAGCAGGGAGGTGGGGAGCAGAGAGCTCCCCCAGAGGGCAGAGTGCCCCGACCCGTACCTTCCACGCAGGACTGCACAGTGTACGTCACGGGGCCGCAGGACTCCACAGGCTTCCAGACCAGCAGCACCCCGTCTTCGTACAGCTCCCCGATGTCCGGGCGCGGGGAGGAAGAGGGCCGCTCTGCAGGGGCCACCCACGGCCAGGGTGGGTGCAGGACACCCAACTCTGCCCCTCCCTCCCCTCAGCCAGGACACCGAGCCCACCCGGTCCCAATCCCACTCATTTAGGGTCCCTACAGCCCTCCTTCAGGAGTCAGGGACACCCACCCACCTCCCTGCCGGGCCACCCATGTTGCTGGTTCCAAGCAGGAGCTTGTGGAGGGGTGAAGGCCCTGGCAGCTCAGTTAGGCCGTCTGCCCAGCACTGGGTGTCTGGGGCCCGCCCACAAGGCTGCCCCTCTTTTTGGCTACCTTAGGATCACACCCCAGGCAGTGTCGAGCTGGAAGCTTGGCCCTGATGTGGACACAGAGCCGAGATGGCCCTTCCTTCCCGTGTGGCGGAGGGAGGGCCAGGCAGCACCGTGGAGAAACGGAGCCCCGGTCCAGGCACCAGGGAAAGCTCCGCCCACAGGCAGCCGGGCATGGGCTCGGCGTTGTGCACAAGTGGGCTTTGTTCAGGTGCTGTAAGGCAGCTGCCATAGCTTCCCTACCCCTGCTCCGGGGCACACTGCTCCCGGCCAGCTAAGGCCCCTCCCCAGCCACTCTGGGCACCCACAGCAGCTGAGTGCCATGCCTGCCCACCGAGAACAGCGCTGCCTAGGGGAAGTGACGCCCAGTGGCCACTGCTCGAGCCGCAAGTTCTGCGGCCTCATGAGGTGGAACATGGCATGGCCTCCCTGGGTCCCCACCCACCTGCCTTCCGGAGGACGCCCCTGCTGGCGGCTGTCCCCAGCGGGTTGCTCACGCTGCAGGTGTACACGCCCAGGTCCTCAGCCATCACCATGAGTATGGTCAGCAGCTCGAAGTGCTTCAGGGTTGAGGAGATGAGGATGCGTCCACTGCTCTCCAGGATGGCGCCATCTGCATGGGGACAGGGTGGGCCTCAGTTTACCTGGACAGCCACCACTTCCTGCCTGCTCTGGGGTGGCTCCGCACCTTTGCTCCAGGTGGCCTGGGCAGCTGGCTGGGCTGACACCTGGCAGGCCAGTGTCACTGACTGGCCCAGGACCACGGCCTCATCTGAGAGCTCCCTCAGGAAGGATGGTGCTGAGGAGGGGCGTGAGATGAGGGTCAGGGGGACACCCAGCGCGAGGGTGCAGCCAGACCCCACCCTGCCCTCCAGGACTGCTAGGCCCTGCTCACCATGGTCCCTGCCTTTCAGGCCGGACAGCCTGAAGGCAGCCAGGCCCGCCTTCTTCCTGGGGGGCTCCTCCCTCTCCTGACCTGAAGGCGTGGAGGTGGAGGTCAGCCAGGAGTCCCTCCTCCAGGCAGCACCCTTGCCCCACCCCCACCCCAGATTTCCATGCCTCGGGATGGCCAGCACCCAGGCTTTCGGAAAGGAAGCGCATCGCACTAAGGAGGCTTCCCATGCTGGGCTGCCTGTACCCCAGGCCCACTTGGGGCTGCTGGGCTGCTCCTGCCTCCAAGCCCTTGCAACTGCCCTATCCAAGGCTGGTCCCGGGCACCCAGGAGGAGGGCATTGAGCCCCAGGGCACAGGCCTGTGGGGTGAGGCTAGTAGGCTGAGCTGTCCCTGGCATGAGAGGATGAGGAGACCCTGGATGTGCCAGCTCCCAGCAGGAGTCACCTTGCTTGCCCTTAAGGATGCGGGAGATGTGGGCCATGGATGCCTTCACCCTCTGGCGCAGCCTGCGCTCCGGGGGTTCTTCAGGTGACAGGCAGCCTCCAGGGAACTGGAAAAGGCCCCGTGAGGGCGACCACTTGCGCTTCCTACCCGTGGCCGCCTCCCCCAGCAGGGCCACCAGGTCATCAGGCTCCTCCTCTGTGATCTCTAGGCCAGCATGCAGGCCGAGCTCGCCTGGCCAGGGCTGCATGGCCTCCGGGAACCTGGCCAGCTCCTCCTCAGCCTCCGTCTCTGGCGAGGAAGGCTCCGGCGGCTCAGAGGGCTTAGGGACCCTCCTGAAGATCATGAACTCAAATGGGAGGTACTTGATGTCATACAGGTCGGAGAGGTTGAGGTAGGCAGGGTCTACCTCAGAAATGTCCAGGGATACGGTGTCAGCTGCCTCTGCATCCCCCGATAGGTCCCGGATCTGCACCAGGGAGACCTGATCTGCCTCCTCCCATGGGGGCAGTTCTGGGGAGGCCCGTGGCAGCCCCAGGCTCGTCTGGGGCTGGGAGGTCTCAGCTACGGCCTCCTCCCGATCCTCCGAGGACTGGGCCACTGACCAGGCCATCCTGGCCCACAGGGGTCCCTGGCCCAGCATGCCTCCTGCATCCCCGCCAAAGGCGAAGGTGCCATAGCCAGCCACACCGGCATAGCCCCCTCGGCGGGACCCCAAGGAGAACTTCCGGGTGGTCGCCTGCTCCTGAGGCCACTGCGGAGGGGCTGTGGAGTCTGGTGGGTGCTCTGCCTGCTGGGTCAGGGCCTTGGCATCCAGGGAGGGGCCAGGCCAGGGCTGCCCAGGTAGGGGGGTGTCGTGGGGTCCCTCAGCACCGGGGGGCTGTGTGCAGGCTGGCTCGCAGCCTTCCTGGGGGGAAGCGCCCGGCTCGGGGCCACTGATGGGGCCTGGGCGCCCTCCGCAGCTCTCCTGCCCTGGCCTGGCCTGTGGAGAGGGTGCCCAGAGCCTGCCGGCAGATGTGAGTGGCCCAGGCCCCTGGGGATGCCCCAGGCCCCTGGCAGAGGCCCCACACACCAGCTCAGATGGGGCTGGGTGCGGACACTGCCCTTTGCCACAGGCCCCTGGGCAGGGGCTTTTGGTGCTCGCCGGGCGGTGGTCTGGGCAGTGGCTGCGGCCAGGGGCCTGGTGAGTGCCAGGGCGGGGCCGCTGCAGGGCAGACTCGGGAGTGGCTGCGTGGGTCCCTGCAGCCTGCTCCTCCCGGGCAGCCGCCTCCTCCAGCACGCAGTGCTCCAGCAGCGGCTCCCGCAGCCCAGGCAGAACCCTCGAGATGTACCCGGCCCTCAGCAGGTGCCGCCTGGCCCCCGAGGCCTCGGCCCTGTGCGCTGGGCCCTCACGCGCCTGCTGGTGGAACAGGCTGCAGATGACGCTGCGTCGGGGCACGAGGCTGGGGGACGGAGGCCCCGAGCCCGGCACAGACCCTGCCTCCAGGGGCACCATCAAGGCTGCACTGGCCTCGGTCTCCTCCGGCAGACTGGCTGACGGCCGCAGGAAGCCCCGGGGATGCAGCAGCGGCGAGTGGGCCGTGGGTGAGGGTGGCAGCGACCTGGCCCTGGCGAACGGTGCCAGCTCGTGGTCCGAGGAGGAGGAGGAGCTGGAGGAGCCACTGCGGTCTGGGCGCAGGTGCCGGGCCACACCAAGGGATGGGCTGTCAGGTGGGCCCTGGAGCAGCTCAGGGATGGACCGCATGACCAGGATGGACTTGTAGCTCATCAGGGAGCGCTGGGGCCACAGGACAGGGCATCAGGGGGTGGCCCAAGGGCGGCCCCACCCAGAGGGATCCTGCACCCTGGGCCCTGTCTGCTGCCCTGCTGTCACATGCCTGGGCCTGGGCTCAGTCTCCCCTTTGTGAGGCAGCGTGGCTCACCTGCCAGCGGCTGCGGGCCAGGAGGAACTTGAGCTGCTTGGTGTTGATGAAGTGGGCCTCCTCGGCAGGCACAGACGTCTGAAGGCAGCAGGGAGCAGCCACCGTGAGGATGGCACCCAGTAGGGCAGAAGCCCTGGGTCCCCAAACCCAGACCCCCAGGCAGGCAAAGGGCAAAGCCAACGATGGTGCCCTGGCCGAACCATGATGAGGCCAGCTGGAAGGGGCTGACACCCCCTGGACCTTCTGTGTTAGTCTGTCCTCCCCCTGCCCTCCCTGTGGGGCAGGCGGCCCAGGGCCCAGCCTGGGCCAGCTCACCAGGAACCAGGGGTGGGCGAGACACTTCGCAGCACTGGGCCGGGCCCTGCAGAGGACACCAGGTGGTCGGTCAGTGGTGGACAGGGCCAAGGACCCAGAGGGAGGGCAGGCGGCTCAGGCACTCACTCTGGGGCCTGCTGCAGCGTGGCCTGGATGAAGTCGCGGGCATCTGCGCTGAGGTGGGCCGCTGTGGGGCCGCTCCAGGACACCCGCCCCTCCAGGATGTTCAGGAGGGTGGCACGGTCACTCTCGCCAGCAAACGGGGACAAGCAGGTCAGGCTGAAGAAGAGGGCCTGACCTCAGCCTAGACCTGGCTCAGAACCGCTCCCGTCCAGCCTGAGGACCCCCGCAGGCTCCAGGCTCAGCCTGCAGTAGGGGTCCCAGGCAGCTACAGGGGTCAGGGCTGGCCTGTGTGGGACCCAGCTTTGGCCTGCGGCAGAGTTCAGAGCTCAGCCTGAGAGAAGACACAGGGTTAGCCTAGGCAGGGCCAGCTGACTCAGCCGCTGTCTGGGGGCCCAGCGGGGACAGAGACTGGGTCAGCCCGACACAGGTCCCAGCCCTTCCCAAGACGGGGGTCAGGGGAGCTGAACGGAGATCCCAGCTCAGTCTACACTGGCAGCACCATCGGGGCAGCTGCCGTCATCAGGCAGCCACCGCGTGACCCTGGGACCGGCAGGGAGGAGCATCAGCCCTGGGACAGCATGGCGTTCATGGGACGTCCTGGGCAGGCCCCTTATCGGGTGGGCCAGCTGCCTGTCCCCAGAACAGATGCCCCAGCCCAGGGCTCGGCCTAGGTGCCAGAGGCAGAGGGCATGGCCTCTGGGGCCCAGAGGGAGGGTGGCCCTGGAGGGGCTGGAGGGACAGGCTGGCTCACCTGAGGTAGGAGATGACCCCCATGGCCCTGCAGGAGGAAACCACCGTGAGCCACAGGGCCCAGCCAGGAGCAGGAGACCCGGGTTCGAGGGAGCCTGCCGGCGGCTGCCCGGGGGCCTGTCCCGCACCACTCACCAGATGTCGGAGGCTGCGCTCACGGCTGTCTGCTGGATGATCTCAGGGGACACGAACTCGGGCGCCCCATACTTGCTGTATTGCGGCTCCGAAGGCGTGAGTTTTTGGGCAAAGCCAAAGTCACAGATTTTAATGTCTTCCCGAGCGGGGTGTACCATCAGGATGTTGGAGGGCTGTCAGGCAGAGTCTGGTGTCAGTGAGGGCTGTGCCCGGGGGTGGTGACCCCGGCCCTGGGGCCTCCGGGTTTGGGGAAATGTGGGGATCCATGAGGGTAGCAGGGACCCCCGGGGTCCGACCAGGGATTGCTTGGGGATGTCTGCCCCATCAGAGCCAAGCTCCATCTGACGGGGCTCCCGGATGTGGTGAGCCCTCTGGACTCAGAGGCATGCAAGCCTGTCGGGGACACTGGACAAGGTGGGCCTGCACTTTTCCCCCCTCCAGGCCCCATCAAGCCCAGGGGTTGGGGTACCTTTATGTCCAGGTGGAGGACATCACGACTGTGCAGGTACTGCAGCCCCTCCACCAGCTGCTGGATGTACACCTTGACCTGGGCACGGGCGGGGTCCAGGTGAGGGCCCTGCTGCCCGGCTCACTCCCAGGGATGCCTGGCACAGGTCCCACGGGTGGCATGCAGAGCCCTGTGAGTCCCAAGCTGGAGAACCCCAAAGCAAGGGGATGAGAGGCAAGAGCCAGCGTGGAGCAGGGAGTCCCAGGCAGGGGGTGCAGTGCGTGGGGCCGGCTGGGCACCCTGGCCCAGTAGGGCAGGCAGTCACCTCAGCCTCGGTCACCACACTCTTCTTGAAGAGCCGATCCAGCAGCTCCTCGGAAGAGCACCTGGCCATGGTCAAGGAAACGGGGAGCTTTGGGACACAGAGCGGCAGCTGGGTTGGGGCTGTGGGACCCAGCCGGAGTAGAGGGGTGCTCAGGGTCCATGTGCCAGCCCCGTCCCTGGAAGGGCTCAGGCTCATGGGCTGCGGGACAGTGGTGGCTGACAGCAGTCACCTTGACCTAGGCTGACCAGGGACCCCCGCTCCCGCTGGGGGCCTCCAGAGGCAGGGCAGGATACAGCTCCAGGATGAGGATGAGGGTCTTCCGTGTCTCAAACTGGTCCAGCAGCCCCGTGACCAGGGGGTGGCTGAGCCTGGCCAGGATGGCCCCCTCCTGGTAGGCCTGCGTGCGTGTCCGACTCCGCAGAGGGATGAACTTGGCGGCACAGGACAGCTTGTTTCCTTTGTGCTGCACCTTCTTCACAAAGCCAAACACGCCCCTGGGGGAGGAGGCCATGTGGGCACTGCACTGTGGGGTCCCGAAGGTCCTAGAGGTCCCAGGGAGCAGCTGGGGTACATGTACCTCCCAATCTCCTCCTGGACCTCATAGAAGGACTGCAGCTTCCTCCGGGAGCTCTGCCTCTCAGAGTCTGGCTTACTGTGTCCTATGTCACAGGGCAAGACACGGTCAGTGTGGGCGGAGATGACTCGGAGTCTGGGGAACCCACAGCCCAAGGAGCCCTGCACCCCACTCACCCCTGAGGACCAGCAGTTCTGCCTTGCAGAGCACCTGGCCACCAGCATTGTGGGCCATGCAGGTGTAGACCCCAGCATCTGGCTGGGCCGCGTTCATTAGCATCAGGGAGTATGAAGTTCCATCCTGTCGCTGCTGGAGCCGGGCGCTGTCCACCAGCTGGATGCCATCCTGGGGATGAAGACAGCCAGGAGCCATCAGCCCAGCCCCGGGGGTGCCCATACTGTGCTCACCCCACCCTGCGGAGTGCTGCTCCCCACGCCTGCTGCGTGTGTGTCCAGCCCCGAAGGGCTGGGGAAACACACAACAAGGGCAGTGAGATGGGGCTGGGATGGCATCTCATCCCCCACACAGGGCCTCCTCTGACCTTGTACCAGGTCACGGTTGGCTGTGGGTTGCCCTCGATGACAGCCTCAAACTGCGCCGTGCCACCTGCCTGAACCTGCACATCCTCGATGGTGACTTGCATGGACGGGGCCCCTGGAAGTGGTCAGGGAACTGAGGGCAAGGTCCCTGGAACCCATCATCCACAGGTGGTCAGCGAGTTTCCAGATCCCCAGGGTGCCAGCCCCTCCCCGTGACAGGCCCCGCCATGGGAAGAGCTTTCCCCTGTCCAGCCACCATCTCTCCCGCTGCAGCCTCAGTGGAACAACGCATCGTCCTCAAAGCCACTGAGGACAGAGCGAGCAGACCCTGAGCCTGCTGCCCTCCAGGGCATGTCGCAGCTGCAGCAGAGCCTGGCCGGCACCCCCCGCCCCAGCACCAGGGCTCGTACTTGCAGCACGCACGTCGGTGGCCTGGTACACATGGGTGCTCTGTGTGGTCTCGGTGACCACGTGCCTCTGGACATCCCAGAGCAGCTGCCCCGGCCCAGCCACCAGCTGGGATGCATCTTCCACCCTGGAATCACAGAGGCCACTGAGCCTGGCAATAGACAGGGTCCCCACCCCTCGGGGCGTCCCCTGTGTTGCGCACATCCCCCGAATCCCACCGCAGGGCCCGCTGGCCGGGGAAGTTACCAGATGGGCACCGTCCGTCCCTGGGCCCCTTCAGCGGACGCCAGCTCCCGCTCCAGGCCTTCATGGGGGAGGGGCTGTGTCACCTCCGGGGGACTGGCTGGTTGGGGACAAGCAGTAAGGAGGGCGGCGAGGGTGGCTGAGGACACCAGCCAGTGTAGAGAGGAGCTCAGAAATCAGCAGGGAGCCACGGTCCACTCAAGCCCCAGGACCCCCACTGCTCAGCCACGCATGGTGCCGCGTGGGGGCTCCATCCCCGGAGTCCTGCCTGCTGGCCAGGCCAACTGCCTGCCAAGGGACCCGACCGGCCTTGGACTCCCCAGGCCCAGCTGGGGCTTCAGCAGCTGCTGAGGGGCCAGGGGCCACCCAGGGACAGCTCTCCTGCCTGGGTAGAAACAGGGCTCAGGACAGCCTAAGGGGACAGAGGTGCATCTTGGGAGAATGAGCCTCACTGCCTGCTGCCTGGGCGTAGGCAGATGTCCAGCACCGGTGTCTGGGACCATCAGGCAGATCTCCCCCAACATGCACCGCTGTGGTCAATGCATCAAGCCCTCTGGGGTAGGCTGAGTCAGGCTGCACAGGAGGACAAGGCGGGGCACCAGGGAACAGAGCCAGGGAGGGGTCTAGGGCTGTGCTCACGTCAGGTTCACCGGCACTGGTGTCAGAGACCACAATCACAGAACTTGGGGCCCAATGTTCCTGGCACAGGACGAAGCCAGGACCCAGGAGGCCCAACCACCAGTCAGCCTCTGCTGTGTCCTCCCTGTGACAGCAGCCTAGTGCCCCTGCTGAGGTGGTGACAGGGGCAGGGAGGGGCCCCCGAGCTGCAGGCCCCTGGGACAGACACAGCGCCCAGAAGACACATGCTGGCCCTAGCTGTGGAGAGAGCTCTGGCTGCCTAGGGCCGCAGGCTGCTATGCCAGTGCCTGTCCCCTGCCCAAGGACAGGTGGGCAGCAGGGAGCCCCCGCTGGTGGGTGGGGCCGAGGGCCTGACAGAGCATCTGGGCTGTGTGCCAGGGCAGGGGCCGTGTGGACAGAGGACCGGATGGGGTGGACGGGCGGCCCAGGACTGTCCCTGGCTGACCAGCCCGACTCAAGCTCCCCCCAGGAGCTCAGCACGCTGGCTACAGAAGGGGCACCCTCCGAGCCCAAGGAAGCGCAGAGCCCAAGCCAGACACCACAGCCCAAGCAGGGAGCCCTGGCTCTGGGACAACTCATCCTGCCCAAGTCCCACAGATGGGGAAACTGAGGCCAGCGAGGCATAGGCTTGGCACAGGGCACGGAGTCCCTGGGGCTCTGCAGCTCACACCCACAGGCAGCACCACGTGAGGCCTCACCAGCTGCTTCCGAGGCTCCCATACCCGAGTGCTGGGGCCTGGCCCCCTGGAACACAGGTGGCCCAGTGGGGCTGGGAACAGTGAAGTCCCTTGTGGAGTCCCCTGCAGAGGGGCCTGGAGCCTCGGGTCCCTGCAGCCCTGGCAGAGTAGGTGACACCTCCGGGTGGGTTCCATCGGGGGCGGGGTGGATGGAGTCCTCCAAGGCAGCCTCTGTGGAGAGGGGTCAGTGCAGTGAGGCCCAGGGCTCCCGTGATGAAGTTGGACCACCAAGGCGGCCCAGCTGGGGCAGCTCGAGGGCCCCTCCATGGGGCCCCAGGCCCAGGCTCAGCACCCACGTGTGGCTTCTCCTCCCGGGCCGCCAGGCTGCAGCATTTCCTCAGGCCCTGGAGCCCAGACCTCAGCACCCTCCACCCCACGCTGACCCCAGGCTGTCTCCGAGCATCCAGGGCAGCTGAGCTGCTGCACAGATGACCCCACCTGCAGCCCTCCGGACACAGGCCGCCCTCCAGCGGTCCCACGCACTCCACCTGAGCGGCGGTCTCCTCCTTCTCCCTCCCCTCTCCTGGCCCTCCAGACACCCATGGATGCTGCTCCTTGATACTCTCCAGGCCAAGTGCCCAGGGCCGCTGACCACGCCCACCCTGCCCTTGCTGAGGAGCCATCTACTGGACCCCACACAGGCTAGAGCGGCCACCCCGGGCTCCCCTCCAAGGGGCCAGGCATCCACCCTCCACTCCCCTCTGAGGTCAGCGGGGCCAGAATGAGCCCAGCTGGACTCGTCTGGCACAGGGGCAATGTGGCGCTGTGCAGTCAGACCCCACCCTGGCCCCACATAGGCCCTGACAAGGCCCCGCTGCTGCCTGGGGCTGCTGGGTCACCCAGGGTCCCCATGGGCAGCGCACAGCTGTGTGTCCAGGCTGGATCCACATAGACACAGGGCACCCAAGGACCCCATGGGGCAGATGGGGACCTGTGGGTGCTCTTGGGCCTGGGCAACCCTGGAGCCAAACAGGGCAGGCGACCTGCACTTCAGGTGCAGAAGCAAGAAGGAGCCCACAGCAGGTAGAGGAGCTGATTTATTGTTCACAGGGCCCAGGACAGAAGTCTGAACAGTCAAGAGCTGCGTGGGGCAGCTGGACCACGTGCTCCAGCCAGGGGACTACCCAGCACGGAGTCCCCAAGGGGCCTCAGCACAGGCCAGCGTCGGCCCCTCCCAGCGCCTAGCTGGGGATGAGGTCTGTGGGCTAGAGACCAGGCGGAGGGCAGGGAAGCTCGTCCTGAGCTGCACAGGGACCCAGGGGACTTGGAGCTCCCCAGGCCTGGCATCAGTGCCCATGCCACGTGGCCCAGGACACACACTGTCCCTGCCTGGGCGGCAGCACACACACAGGTCCTGGGACCCAGCCCACAGCGTGTGGGCTCAGCCCTGTGAGGGGCCAGGGCCCTCATTCCCACCCGGATGGAGGCGCAGTGTGACCGTCGCACCCACAGTCCCAAAGCCGACCGTCTGGGTGGAGACCTGCGTTTTGAAGCTACTCTGACTGCCATCTGCAGACTGCTGCGCCTGGGCATGGAAGGAGGATGTCCAGGGGGTGCTGCCCCTGGGCCTGAACCCCTGCGCAAGGACGGAGATGCCTTCAGACCCCGGGGCCCAGGGGCCCCACTGGAAAGAGCTGGGCCAGCGCCCCACGTTGAGCAGCACAGGCTGCCCCACGGTGGGCTCGCCAATCTCTCTCTGCAGCACCGAAACCTTGCACGGGGGGTCCCCAGAAGCACTGGGCACGGGGTCTCTGCGGCCAAAGGTCTCCCCTTCCCGGGGCACATAGTCCTCCAGGTCGGCCAGGGTCAGCACACGGCCACTGTGTGTGAGGGTCTTGGGGTCTCGGCCTGCAAGGCCGCCGGTGCCCTGGAGCACCTCCGTCACAGCAGGCCCTCGGGCCTCTTCCTGCGCTCCTCCTGCATCGTCCTCAGGGCTGGCCCAGACCATGCCGCCAGGGCCTACACGGAGGGCCAGGGGCTTTCCGATGGAGGTGCGTGCTGCATGCTGGTCCAGCCGTGTGTTGTTGGAGTTGTTGGCATTGGGATCCGAGCCAGGTGGCGTGACACGCTTCCCCACGGGGCTGCTGGACGCCTCTTGGGGGGGAGACACACCCCGAGGACCCCCTCTCTTCACTCGAACCTCGATGGTCTCCTCCACCTCTGCCCACTTTGGAGTGGGGCCCTCAGCCTCTGTCACGAGCACCGTGGGCACAGCCAGCGTCTGGCCTGGCTCCACCTCGGGCCTGCCGGGGTCCAGTGGGCGTGGCGGCTTGGGGGTCCGGGTGGGCAAGCCTGGCCTCTGTGGGCTGGCGGGCCGGTAGAGTGGCAAGCAGGATAGGGGCTGGCAGCGGCCACGAGGACTCTTCACCACAGTGGTGATGGTTTCCTCTCTGGTGGGGAGAGGGCCCGGGGGGTGGGCAGCGCCACGCCGTCCGGAGGTGCCAGAGCCCACGTTAATGCAAGCAGCAAGGGGTGAGGCTACTCAGACTCCTACACATGCATGGGAGCCTGGCCCGCAAAACCCCAGCCCAAAGCCAAAGGAACAAAGCACAAAGGCCCACGTGGTTAACCTCAGCTCCTGTCAGGGCACTGGAAGGCCCGGGCTATGACCCGCAGGCTAGCACCTCCACCCTCTTGGCCGGTTGGCCCTGCCAGCTCGGAGAGGGTGGACAGCATGTGCTCGGGGCAAGGCTGAGCAGGACGGCTGGTCTGAGAGTGTGCAGCCATCGTGGCCCTGGACTTGTCTATGACCCCTGCCTGGCCCCGTCCCCCGAAATGGAGGGCAGCAGACTCAGGCTGGGACCCGAAGCTCCCTGCTCTGCCCTGGGGTGGTCCAGTGTCAGGAGGGCCCCTGGGTGCTGGGTGAAGGGCCACAGCCAGGTGGAGGACATGCTGCTCTGCACACAGCCCTGGCTGACCCTGGACTGGGGCCATCACCCAACATGCCATGGTGAAGGCCTCACTTTTCTTCCATGGCTTCTGTCTACTCAGGGCTCTGCTCAGGGTGGGCCAGGGACACAAGGCCACCTCTGGGTGCCCTGCCTCCAATGGCCCTCGCCCAGTGGGGCCTGGGAGCTGAGCTCATGGCCCACGTGGGGCACAAGCCTGCAGCCTCCTTATGCTGGCTCAGGCACTGGGCCCGAGTGGCAGCCTCCCTGATGTCAGATGTGCTGCCTGCCTCACCCTGCCCCCAGGAGGGCACAAGGCCTCACGTGTGGCACCAGCCCCAGGTCAGGGATAACTACCTCTCTCCTTTCCTCAAGGTGGGCAGGTCCTGTTCTTGGGCTGAGGGTGGCCACTCCCCAGGGCTGGCACAGACCCTGCAGCGGCCTGACCCACCGTCCTCCAGTCCCTCTGTTCCTCCATCCCCATCTGCCAACTAGGAAAGTTAACAGTGCCCCTTCCTGGGCAGCGTGGGGAGCAGCCTGTGGGGCTATGGCTGCTCCTACTCTAGGCCGGGAGCCCACCCGCTGCGGGGTGCACCTGGCCCAGCCTCCTCTGCAGGGCAAAGGCCAAGGAGGAGCTGACCCAGGCTTCCCCAGCGCAGGCCACCTTCCCGCCCCTGGGCTGACAGCCTCTATCTCCTCCGCCCCAACTGCCTCTGTCCCACAGCCTCAAAGGCACCTGGGGACGAAAAAGGGTGCCGGTGCGGCCCTGGGCACTTGGGCCAGGCTGACTTCCACCACCCCAAGCCTCAGTTTCCCTGTCAGCCAAAAGGGAATGTTGGGCTCAGGGTCCTCAAAGGGACAAGGGCTGCACTAGCCAACTTCGATTCAGGTTCATAAAAAAGCAACCTCTGCTGCACCAGACCCATCTCCAATGGCTGCCAGGCTGGATGTTTCGCTAGACTCATCAGCTCCCTCGCTCCTAGAATGCCGCCTCCAGCCCCGGAAGGACGCAGCCCTCCATTCCTATCCCACCCACCCAGCGAGGCTCAAGCCCAAACCCTGGGCGAGCCGCCTGGAGCTGTGCAGATAAACGACCTTGGGAGGTGGCGGGCTGTGGCAGGAGGCGTGGGCAGGGGCTGGGCTCAGGGGCTGTGAAGGCAGAGAAAGCCCAGCTTTGTGAGGTGCAGGTGACCATAGGGAGTATGGCCATGCGCAGGAGGAGCAGTGGTGGCCGAGCACGCAGGCAGGGTGCAGGGTCAGTGGCATGCGGGGCACCGCAGTCAGGAGAAGGTTACAGCACTTACATGATGACGGTTTTCTTGGGGACCTTAGTCTCCTGCTCAGTGACTACAAAGAGAACAGTGGGATAGCCAGGGTTACAGACCCATAGTGACCACGGCCAGCTCAGGGCTCGGCATGGCCTGGCAGTGTGGCCACTCAGCACAGGGGTGCTAGGTCCAAGCCTGTGCCTGTGCATGGGGCTCTGGGTCCCTTAACCTCAAGGTGAATGCCTGGAGTCTGGGGTGCTGTGGAGGGTGCAGGGTGCCTGTTCTGCCCACCTGAGAGCTCAGTCTCTTCCTCCGCCCACGTGGCGGCTGAGGGGACCCCGCTAGCACATGGTCCTACTCTCAAACATGTAAACTGAGCCTAAGAGAGAGGACAGGAGTGGCCAGAGTCACACTGAGACCCGGGCGGCCCCAGGAAATCCTCAAAACCAAGAGGTTCCTCTCCAGGGGAGAGGGGCCCAGGACTCCTGACAGCGGCACCTCAGCTCCTCCCAAGGACAGCCCTGAGGGTGCAGGCAGGGTGCTGTGCCCATGGGACAGCTGGCCCTCCTCCCTCAGGAGCACCCTGCTCAGTGTCTGTCTGTCGCTCCCTTCCTGACAGCAGGATGGGCCTGGAGGTCCTGCTTTGCATAGGGAGCCTCCGCTGCAGGGACAAGACAGCTCACTCAGGGCCAGGCAGCATCTCTCACCCATCCTGAGGCCTCACCCCTTGAAGCTTCTGGATGGGGTTGGCTTGACTCAAAGATGCGCCTCCCGGCCTGGCCAGCTGACCAGTGGGCAACCCATGGGCTACAAGCACCCTCCATCCCAGAAGGCCCTAGAGCCGCCCCGTGGGGAAACTGAGGGGCACAGGAGACTCAAGAGGCACTGAAGGGTCTGCAGCCCACAGCACCTGGTCCTGGAGCATCCACTTTGCTACATGAAGGAAGGGCTTCTCAAGGAGCTGGGGCCTTTAAACCTGTCTCACATGTGGTTTACGCGAGTTTAATTTACTAGTGGTCCCTGTATGTACCCTGGAAAGCTACACTCACTGTGCATGTGTGACATCATGTATCACACGTGTATACGTGTGCACCATCAGTACAGTGCATATGCTTACTCTTGCATGTATGTGTGCGTGTGCATGTGCACTCACATGTGCCTGTATTGTATGTGCCTATATGCATGTGTTCACATGGGTGCATGTGCCACATGTAAATGTTCACATTTCACGCACCTGAGTGTGCTTATGTGAGTGTACGCTGATGTGCTAACACAGGCATTGTCTCTGTGTGCTCCCATACGTATGCACATGTGCTCACAGGTGTGTGTCCTGCACGTGTATCACGTGCCTGCGCGTGTGTGTACATACGCACATGCATACTCGTGTGCATGTCCCTGCAGGTGTCTTATGTGTCCATGTGTGTATCTGTGTGCATACATGTGCATATACTCACATGTGCCATGTGTGTGCCTACTCATGAGTTTGCATGTGTGTGCATGTGCTCACAGGTGTATCACGTGTGCCTGTGTTGGTGTGTGCCTATGGGTCATGTCCCTGCATGTGTGTCTTGTGCCTGGACGTTTACACTCGTGTGTCATGTGCCCACATGTGGACATGTGCCTGTGCCTGTGCCTGTTTGCACAGGCTACTCCTTCGAGAGAAGGGAGCCCCCAGGGGGTGAGCCAGGCCCCAGCCGCAAGTTCTGGGTCTGGATAGAGCTGAACTGGGCAACAGCCAGCGCCCACTGCAGTGTGGGGTGGGGCTTCCTTTACGCTCCCTGCGGGTCCTGCTGCTCCTGGAGTGGCAGCGAGGACACTGAGTTGCTCAAAGCCTGGCACTTGTGCTCGTGGCCCTGAATGCCACTGCCGGGCAGTGAGTGTTTGCGACTGCGGGAGGAGGCAGCTGCGTGAAGCGGGGCTCCCAGCTGGGCAGATGCGCAAGCGAGGGAACATGCCCACCAGGCCGTAGAGCTGGGTGAGGTGAAGTCACAGGCCGGAGTTAGGAAGCGGGTTCTGGGCTCCAGTGCCAGCCCCTGGCATCAGCCAGGTGCCCAGGCCTCTCTCCACATTGCCACGCTCCTCTGCATGCAGAAAGACACTGCCTTGGCGCAGGGATGTTTCCTGACTGGGATGGGTGCGCAGGAAGTTGGTGCCAGTGGCACAGAACAGTGTGTGCCTGGTGCTGTGGGCACCATCGCAGGCTGATGAACACCGCGGCCCACTGGCACGGGCCAGGCAGAGGGACTCAGGGTGACAGGTGTGCAGCCAGGACAGGAGCAGGACCTCTGTCTCAAGCACACAGTCTCCATGATGACCACAGGGCACGGAGCCCCTGATGTCCAGCTCTGGTCCCATGGAACACCACAGGAGCAGGCTGGTGGATGTGGAGGTGTAGCTCCACCAGAGCAGGCTCCGCCTCTGCTTGCATGCCCCCAGAAACAGGAGGCTCGCCAAATGCCTGGGCAGCCCCCTAAGGGGGCAACTCCAAGTAGGCAGCTCAGCACAGATGCCCACTGCCCTCCTCCACACACTGGCTGCCCATGCACAGCTGAGGCAGCTGGGACCCTGGAGGAGTGATGCACCGTAACTCCCTTCACCTCTGTCCCTTGTGAGGCTCCTCTGCAGCCAATCCACTTCCAGAACCCCAGCAGTGGCCCTAGGCCAGGCAAAGAGCCTGCAGCTCTGCACCTCGTATGAGCCCCTTTTGCACCAAGATGCCCTGCTCTCGTTGCCCAACAAAACACAGGGGACTTAAAGAGGGGTCGGGCCCCTTCACTCTGCTGCCTCTCAGTCCTCAGCCCCACCCCTGCCAACCCCACAGGTGCCAGCAGCAGCCCTCTGGCCTCCGGCCATGACCCTTTCCTCCCGGGACCCCAACCCAGCCCCTGAAAGTGCAGCCTGACCATAGGAAGTGACATTCAGTACCCCTGAATCCTGCCCAGGCCTACAGGGGGTTGGCCTGGGGTCCAGCCTGGAAGTCCAAGGTGACAGGCGTGTGGCAGGACCTACCTTCCACGGCAGCCAAAAGCAGCTCCCTGTGCCGCTGGTCCTGCGCCCAAAGCACAGGACTCTGCATGCTCAGCTCCACGCCCCCACGGGCCATGCCTAGCTGGTTCACCAGCTGCAAAAGAGCCAGCAGAGGTCCCCTTGACCCTGCTTCCCATGGAGCCCATGTCACCTCCTGGGGCCACACCAGCATCTGCAGGGCACAGTACCCACCCTGGCTGTGCCCTGATGGGGACAGGCCACCTGCAGTGACAAGCTACTCCCCAAGGAGTGTGGATCTTGGGCTGGGTTTAATTTTAATGGACTTAAATGTAAACTTAAGCATCGCATGTGGCCAGTGGCAAATGCATCACACCATGCAAGGGTCCTCACTTCTGAGTGCACCCATGGGTCAGGGTCCCTGGCCAGAGAAGCCACATGGCACGCACTGGCCTGAGTAGGGCTCGGGAGAAGCTGGCATGGCCAGGGCCAGGCTCTGGGGGCACTAGAGTGGTGTCTGGCTACGTGGGGTCCCTGCGAGAAGCCCTAGCCTTGGGCCTGTGGACACAGAGAACAGGGGCAAGGGCTTCGTCTCCCACATGGCCTTCACCAGCACCAGGTCCTCCCAAGGGGTGACAACCACGTGGCATCTGTGGACCACCAGAGACAATGGCAAGGAGACCAAGAAGCGGGGGCCCTGATGCTGTGGGAGCTGGGAGGCTACAGGCGGGGGACAGCCAAGAACGGTCTGGGGAGGTTGACCTCAGTGTCTGTGCCCCAGAGAGACGCGGGCCTCCCTCACTCACTTCACACTCATAGTGCCCCTGGTCCTCGCGGCCGGCTGCCCGGATCACCAGTGCCAGCATCCCGCTGCGGGGCTCACTCAGCATTCCGTACTTGCTTCCCGGGCTCAGCAGGACCCCGTCCCTGTACCACCTGCAACCCCAGAGGCCGTGAGGCAGGGCCACCCCTGGCATCCTTCTCGTGCCAAGCCAGTACCCCTGGCCCACCTCACAGTCCAGCCTGCCCCGGCCCCCCAGCCCTCTGCTCAGGGGCCAGTGGCTGTGCCAGCCCAGCCCACGCCAACCACAGGGCCTGCACCCCACCTGATCTGAGGGTATGGGGCACTCTCGACGGTGCAGGTGATCTGCACATCCTCGCCTTCCACGAAGGGCCCAGCCCGAACCTTGCTCACAAACCTCGGGGGGACTGCAGGAGGAGGAGTGTGGGGTCAGAGACAGAAACGGAGACAGAGGCCCAGACCAGCGGAGAGGGATGTGTGGGGACAGCAAGGAGACGCAGGGAGTGGTGAGGAGCGGGCACCGTGCTGGGGCCGCTGTGCCCCCACAAAGTGCCGCCTGGGCCCCCGTGACGCCATGCCCACGGCCCCCAGCAGGGACCCTGTGCCGTGCAGGCACCCACCCACCTTGCACCAGGATCTTTCCCAGGGTGCTAGTGCTGCCAGCAGCACTGGCTGCAAAGCACATGTACTGGCCGGAGTCCACAGCCGTGAGGGTGTCCAGGATGAGGGCGCACGAGCCATCAGGGTCTTCGATGAGGATGTGGTGAGTGTCCACTTCCACTGGCTTCCCATCTGGAACGCAGGGCGCAGGCTGGTCGTGGTGACGGAGACTGGGTCTGGCCCACGTCTACCGCGTCGGGGCCCTCATCTGGTCTGTCACTGCTGTCTCTCTGTCCTCGTCTCCTTCTGTCGCGTCTATTCCAAGGGCACAGCTGGACCTGTCTCTGTCCCTGTCCAGCACGGACACCAGCCCGAGGGGAGCAGGTGGGGGACTTGCAGCTACAAGGACACCGTACAGGGAAGCCAGACACGCGGTCGACCTCCCCAGGACACTGCGACTCCTCGGGCCCCCCTGTGCCAGCCAAGCCGGGGTCACACCAGCCCACCACTCTTCCCTGGTCACCACCCAGCCCCTTCCTGTCCTCTCACCCACGCGCGGCCCCTGCAGCTACGCGTGGAAGCCAGCTCCGGCAGGAACGTCCCTGAGCCCCACCCCGCGAGCAGCCCAGACCCAGCACTCGGCCTCCCTCACGCCGTCCTCCCTCCTCTACCGAGCCAGAGCCACCAAGGAGACCCTCCTGGGGCAGGCGCGGGGAGCCACCCGCGGTCGCCCCCTTCCAGGCAGCGGGCACACAGCAGGCCCGGTCCTCTCAGTTACCCTCCTCCGTGTAAAGCACAATGGAAGATCTAAGCAGTCTGAAAACAATGAAAGAAGGCAATGAATGGTCCTCCAATAAAAGAAGCAGAAAGACTGAAAATGTCACAGTAGCTGCCCCTGTGTGACACCGCTTCAATGTGTCTGCCCAAGACCAACTTCCTCCTGGGGCGGGGACCTTGCTTGAAACAGCGGCACTCTTTGACCCGTGCGTCTACACATTCCCGCACCAGGGCCTGAGGTCCGGCGTGCGAGGAGCCACGTGCGGGACTCTCTCTGCCCAGTCACCGTCCACCTTCCTGTGTGGGAGGCCTGGGGCACTGCAGTTCCAGCTCCCGGACCGGACGTCCCAGGCATCTCGATTTTCAGCCGCAGACACGCTGGAGGGACGCCCCTGAACCCATCGGGACATGCCCGCGGAGAGGGCGGGAGCGCGCATGCCACACCCAGACCAGCTCCCTGTCCCGCCCCAGTGGGCTGACAGGAACAGAGCCCGAGAGAAGGGCAGGGCCGGGCCGGTGGTGACGGGGAGAGGTCAGGACCCATAGCCCTCCTGGGCTCACCAGGCACCAGGACCCTGGTCACACTGCTCCCGGCCTCACACCCTGACCTTCTCAGCCCACGACATGCAGTGGACCATGCTGTCCTCAGGGTGGCCAGTCAGAAGCATCGTCCTGGCTCTACCAGCAGCAGGCGCAGTGGCAGGACTGGGACGCTGCTGCCCACACAGGCCAAGTCGCCATGACCAGGCTCTGTGCCTGGCTCCCACCTCTCTCACAGCAGTGAAGGGGCCTCATCAGACTGCACCCTGCCTCTGCACCCCAGCCTCTAGACTGTGAGCCCAGGAAACCTACTTTATAAAGAGCCAGGCTCGGGTGCACTGCAGAGCAACAGAGAGTGACCCAGACAAGCTCTGCATTTCTGCGGCTGAGCATGCTGCCCCCCGGAGTCTCTGGCCATGGGCGGCCACCAGACACACTGCTCTGATGCCAGCTTCCTGCGCAGAGGGTGGGGGGATCCCAGATGCGCAGCCCAGTGAGGCCCTCATTCTCCACCTTGGGGCCCAATCCTTACAGACTCTAAGACAGCAGCAGGGAAGGGCCTAGCCCTCCTCACCCACGGCAAGGAAACAGCCAGCTCCTCTACTGCACTGAACGTGCAGCCACTCCCACAGGTGCTCTGCTCTCCCTTCATTCCACACGTCATACGGACAGCTGGCTTCCTACAGCCCGGATCTGCAGAACCCCACGAGGGGCCTAGGCTGGGGCCGCCTGTCACCCAGCAGAGCAAAAGCCCAGTGGCGAACACCAACCACCCAGATACACATCCAGGTGGTCAATGCCCAACACAGCTGTGACCTCCATGAAGCAGCCAGGGGGCCAAACTGTACACACTAATCAGGCTCTTCGGTCTTCCTGGCTGGGACCCAGATGCTGCAATTGCCTCGGTTCCAAACCATGACATGCACCTTAGGGTGGTCTGAAGGACTGGCTGGTGTTGAAGGAAACCCTACCCATGAATCATGTGTGGCCCCAGACACCAGCAGGTCTCTCATACTGAGGCTGCCAGCCACGGCTGGAACTGGGGTGGGACCAGCGTTACTTACAACAAGGCTGTTCAATCAGAAGACCCACCTAGGAATGTGTTCCTGCTGCCAACTCAAGTGGGCACTGACCTCCCTAGCCCAGAGATGCTGAGCTAGGTCCCTCCCTGCCAGGGCACAATGCATCCAGCTAACATCCTCCTGTGGAGGCAGGCAGCAGCAGCCCAGCAGGTAGAGCATCAAGCAATGGCTGATTAGGCCAAAGCTGATATACCAGAAATGCTGCCCTTGGCACGCTGGGCAAGGCTGACCCCTGACGGATGAAGTCTGCTGTCCTGAACAGAAGCCATGGAACACTGCCTGGCCGTGTGACTGCTCAGCTGGCAGACACGGAGCAAGGCCCACAGCATCGGTGTGTGTGGTGTCCCTGTGTGTGCCTATGGTGTACATGTGCGTGGCATGCCTTAACTGTAGTGTTCAGTATGAAGTCATGTGTGAACTCGTCTTTTGTATGTATGTGTACATAGGCATTAGTGTGTACTGTGTGTATCCACTGTGCACCTTGTACATATTCTATTCTATCCACACGCACACACAGCTACCATGTTACACACGTGTGGCACACACAGATAAGGCATGTCTTTGTGTGGTTACTGTAGTGTGTGCATGCCTGCATGTGTGTACCACGGCGTGCCCTCACAAGTGCACATGACCCTGCAGACGTGCGCAGCTCTGGCCCTGGCAGCTGCTCGGGGTCCCCTGGCCTCACCCCCAGCTGCCCCAGGCTCCCTCATTTCCCCCTTGGGAGACCCGGAGTCACAGTCCCAGCCTGGAGCCCCGGTCTGCAGCCCGCCTGGCCTTCATCCCACAGCCACCTGGCCAGCAGCACGAGTGACACTGCCTCATTTCAGCCCAGGTCTCTCCCTGTCCTCTATGACTGCACCTGCAACCCTGTGACCCCAGCTCCTCACCGTCCCCTCGTGGGCCCCACTGTCTGCACCCAGCTGCTCCCTGGGTCCTCCTGCCTCTGTCAGCGGAGCCACCAGCAGGTCAAACCTTATGCCTCCTCCTCCGGTGCCCAGGCGGCCCTGCCAGGGCAGCGGGTGTGTGGACACACCCAGGACACAGCCCAGGCGTCAGCATGGTGCTGGGGTCCCTGCTGTCCATGTCCTCTCAGCCTCTGCATTACCGCCACGGTGACAGGCAACAGAAGCCATCCGTGTCTGTCCCTCTGCTGGCCAAGACACCACAGGGCTTCTAGGCCAAGGCCTCGTGACTCTGCCCGAGGCTCAGGGGCTCCCCTGGCTGCTGATACCTCGTGTGCACCACAGTGCCGCTGATACGACAGTGCTATTGGACAGCTCCACCAGAACGGGATAACTGAAGGTTCACGCAGTGACACCTGAGCCCTGCCCAGTGGCCTGTCTGGGTCCTCTGCTACAATAACCCCTGACTGAAAGGCACAGTGAACCCTTCTAGGGAGTGGGGAACCAAGGCTGCCAGCCGTCACTGGTCCAGCATCTGAGACCGCCCTGCCTCAGCATCAGTGACTTGCTGCTCACCGCAGAGCTCAGACGCTGCCTGGAGGCCGTCCTGGCTCTGTCTGCCTCTGTGCCCGCTGTGACTTCACATCACAGGCTTCTTTCTCTGCATGTCACCTGTCCCCAGGCTGTCAGCCCCTGGCCAGGCCTGGCCCAACCATGTCCCTCACCCCCTGGCCCAGCTGACCCCACACATGGCCTTGGACTTCGCAGCTACCGAGATCTGCCGGGCAGCTCTGCCCCAGTGCAGGCCAACACCTGGCCGAAGAGGCTGTGGACCCCGGCCCCGGGCTGCACCTTTGTACCAGCTGACAATGGGCTTCGGCGTGCCCGTCACTCGGCAGGCCAGCTTCACCGTCTCGCCCAGCTCAGCTGTGCAGTCGGCCAGCTCCTCTTCAAACTCCGGGGCACCTGCAGGAACACAGGGCGCTGAGTGCTCTGTGGGGGCTCAGAGCTGTGCAGCCCCCTCGGGTCCACCCTGGCAGGCCGCCCCACCCCATGCAGGTCGCCTTGAATCTGCAGGTGTGCCCTGATCCATCCAAGGCGGGGGTGATCACAGACACTGGGGAGGGGCTGGGGAGGATGGTCCACGCCAGTTGGACAGGAGACTCGGATGCAGGCCCCTCCCACCCGACAGGATGTCCGGGCATGCTCCACGCTGGGGCCCACATGTGTCCCCGTGCCTGGAGAGTCAGCCCTTGTGGGTCAGGCCCCACCAAACACCTGCTCGGGGCTCTGGGAGGCCACTGCCGTGGGCCCCTCCCAACACTGATCCTCCAGAGAGCCCGCAAGGCCACAGGGAAGGGGCAAGGCTGGGCCATCGCAGCAGCCCGATCCCAGCCTGACCCCCAGTACACTCACTCCACATGGGCAGGGCCAGGCGCTGCTGGATACCACAGATCTCCTTTACCCACGAGCTCTTGATGACAGTCGTCCGCGCCTGCAGCACGTACTTGCGCACAGAGTCCTCCCGCTCGTGCCACACCTCGAAAGCACGGTCATCCCCCTCCACCTGGTCGTTCAGGTCGATGCTGCTCAGCTGCGGGTGGGCGCAGGCGTCAGCAGAATGAAAGCTTTTGAGGCTGAGCCCAGGCCCCCCCCAGGGCCCCGCCCATGGCTGCAGACCTTCATCATGGTACGGAACACGTAACTGAAGGTGTCAGTGCGCCAGTCCCGCCGGGGCTTGCAGATCACCAGGTAGTGGCGGAAGAGGAAGATGTGGCGTTTGTGGCCCTTCCAGGGCATCCGGGCGCCTGGTGCGCCCTCCCACACAATGAAGTGACCCTGGGGGGTGAGTGGTTGCGTCAGTCTGCACACCCGGCCACGGGGCACCCAGCGTGGGCTTCCCACCGTGGCCGTGGCGCACCTGGCGAATGGGCTCCCCCAGGGCCTCCAGGGTGCCTGGGTAGTTCTCCATGAGAGACACATGCAGCTTGTTCTCTGCGCGCCGGGGCAGGGCAGACACCACGGCATAGGCCTGCTCCAGCAGTGCGCAGTTCTGCCGATTGCGGGCCTTGTTCCGGATCAGCTCCTGAGGGACAGGGGCAGAGTCAGGTCTGGAGGAGACCCAGCCCCACTTCCCAGGCCCACACCACAGGCTGGCAGCCCACCTTCAGCAGGGCCTGGTAGCGCTGCACACGCTCCACTGGCTGCTCTAGGTAGTGCTGCAGCGGGAGCGGCAGGGGCTGTGAAGGCTCCCCGGTGGGCAGCGTTTCCTCCACATACTTCTGCAGCAAACAGAGGAGAGGTCAAGCAGAACACACACACCCTCGGCTGGGGTCACGGAGCCTGAGGACGGCTGGGGTGACACGGCTTGACCATGAAGGGTGGGATACTGGCTCAGGGAGCGGCAGGCAGGGCACCTTGTAGAACTCCTGCACTGGGGTGCTAACGACCACCGCCTCAGCCTGCACACGGCCCACCAGGAACTCCAGGTACTTCTCGAAGGCCTCCTCGTTCTTGATGAAGCACATAGCCACATCGTCATCCGTGTCACAGCACTGCAGCTCCTTCAGGAAGCTGCCACAGAGAGGACACACACATGTGTGGGGCTCCCACGCAAGTGCACACCTGTACTGTGTGCCCGTGTGTATATATGCATGCAGGTGTATGCTGCACCGTAATGCTTGTGTGCACAGGTGCGTACACAAACTCGGGCATGCCGACCCATGCAGGCACAGCGTATTATGTTCGTGTGTGCTCGTTTATACATTTGCAATGTGTGCACACATGGTGGAGATTCATATGTGGTGTGCACATGGGTGTGTGGTGGGTGAGCATTGCGTGTGTGCACGGGTGTGCGTGTGAGGCGCGCAGGTCTTCCTGTGTGTGAGCCAGTGCGCATATCACCCGATGGTCCAGCCAGAAGCCTCACCTGCTATGGAAGCGGCTGATGTCCTGCACGTTTCGGAAGATGACCTCCTTCTGGCTGGCCACAGCGGGGGGCACACGGGGACAGCGGTCCAGGTGCTGCATGTGGTGGCTCTGGAGGAAGTGCAGCTCGCCCACAAAATCCTGCTCTGAGCTCAGCAGCTCCCGCATGACAGCGCTGGGAGGGGAGCAGCTGTAAGGAGCCTGAGGCCACACGGCCATGCCTGTATCGGCGGCCCAGGGCCTCAGCTCCTTCTGTTGGTCAGCGGGGCCTTCTGCACTGCGGCTGCCTCTGCCCATCCAAGCAAGGTGAGGAGGACAGGGGCACCCCTGCCGGCAAGATGTCTTGGGGACAGGCCAGTGGTCGACACCACAGGGACTGGGCCGCCCTCTGTCCTCGGCCTGCACCCACCCCGGATCAGCATGCATGGCACCCAGAAAAAAAATGTGCAGAGCCCACAGCTTAGAGCCAGGAGGGTCTCGCTGTGCAACCAGGGCTGCCCCTGCCCAGCACACTCACCTGAGCTTTGCCCTGTACTCATCTTCAGACAAGGCCTCCCCGGGGAAATCAGGGGCTTCAGGGGGCCCCCACTCTGGTGACAGCTATGAGGGGCAGGCCGAGGTCAGGCCGTGGCCCCACATGGGGAGGTGGCCAGTGACCACCCACCTCCTCGCCTGGCACTGGTACCTTGAGCCTCTTATCCAGGTAGGCGGGTGACACCCAGCCTTGCCGGGAGGGGCTGGATTTGGTGGGCTTGGTGCGCACGAGCCAGCGCAGCGGGTGAGCCGCGTCCAGCACCTCTACATACTGCCCCTCCCGCAGCACGATGGCGTCCTGCTCGGCCCCCAGGGGGAGGTAGTCGGCAGTGACCACGTGGATGTCAAAGATCTGACAGGGAGGGCAATGCACTGAGCAGGCGGGGGACACCAGGCCACCACGGCCCCAGCTGCCCCAGGGATCCAAGGGAGGAGCGAACGCCAGGCCTGCCACAGCCAGACCTCAGGGCAGGAGTCCCCAGGTCATGGCACAGCTCAGGGCTGCCGCCCACAGTGGACAGCAGGAGCAGGGGCCCAGGGAAAGCCACACTTCCTGTGTCCACACCCCCCACAGGCCACCCGCCACCCTAAGACCCGCGGGCACAAGACTCATCCACGTGCATGCCCGGGGGTCCTGCTGGGAAGCCAGTCTGCAGGAGCCTCGTGTGTGAGGGCCGGGGCGAGCCCTGCCGGCACTCTGCGTCGGCCACCCACCTCGCCGCGGGAGTCCCCATCCTCCGACTCCGAGGAGGACTCCTGCACGCTGGACGCGGGCCGTGAGCGGCCACGCCGTGGCGACGCAGACGGCGTCTTGGACTCCTCGTCGCTGTCACCCCCAGGCACCTGCAGCTTAGCTGAGGAGGGTACGGGCTCGTGAGCCCTAGAAGGCCACCAACTGCCTCCTCCTGCCCAGACCCCGGCGCCCACCACAGGGGTCACAAGGGCTCCACCCCAAGGTGCAGCTCTCACCCTGGGGGATCCTGGCAGACACCATCTCGGAGATCTGGGAGGTGAGCTTCTGCAGGAGCTCCTCTGTGTCCTCCTCAGCCAGGGACAGGCGGCCACGCGCTTCCTCAGCCGCCAGGGCCTCCCCTGGGGGCACACAGTCACCCAGCACCCCGCAGGCCAGCCTCAGTGGGGCTCCAGGCGGGCATGGGGACACGGCTGCCCAGACAGGGGTGACGCCCGGCTGTGCAGGACCGAAGTCCAGCTAGCTCGTGAGCATCCGACCCAAGCTGTGGCCAACAGGGCTGCACAGGGGGACGGGGGCACCGTCCAGGGACGGCAGAGGCGGGCGGCGGATGAAGGGCGGAGGTGGGAGGGCATCAGACCCCCGTCAGGCCGGCACCACGACCGCCCTGCCCCATACCTGATGCCCAGACCCCCACACAGCCTGCGGGACCCGACGTCTCAGGTGCACAGCCAAGGCCTGGACACGGCCCTGAGAAGCAGGCCCAGCTGCGGGGCCCACAGCCAGCCGGCCCAGTCCAGGAGGAGGCACCCACACCCCACGGCAGCACAGAGCTCGCGTGCCCACTCTCCCATACCTTTCCTCTGCCCAGCCGGGCTGGTGACGCCTGCAGACTCCAACATCTGTGCAGAGACAGCTTGAGTGGTCCTGCGGGGAGGGGCGGCCTGAGGCTGAGCTGCTCCACGCCCCAGGAGCCAGAGAGAAGGCTTGGGGCAGCCGGCCAGGATGTGCCAGCAGGGCCCCGGGAAGCCCTCTCTCCAGTTGGAAACCGAGGCACACAAGGCTGAGGCTGGCCTGAGCCACGTGGCCTGCATGGGGAAGGGCGGTCCTGCTCCCCTCCTACCCTTCCAGCCTGGCTGGGTCCCCACTCACCCCTGCAGGAAAGAGGAAATGAGGGCTGCCTTGGCCTTCTCCGGCTCCTCCTCCCGAGGCACTGTCAGGAGAGCAGACCGTCAGGCAAGGCCGCTGACCCCAGACGTCAGACCCCAGCTCCAGGCCTGTGGCCACCCTGCTGCAGTGGAGGGACTGGGCCTGGATCCAGGGGCTGAGGTATACCCTAAGTGCTGCACCAGGGGTTTGATCGATTCCTGCAGCCTGGATGGGGTGAAAGGCCACACCTGACGGTGCCTGACACCACCTCCTACCCCACCCACCCATCCTACTCACGGCCAGAGACGTGCAGGCTGGCGGAGCACAGGGCCTGGCCGGCAGCGTTGGAGGCAATGCAGGTGTAGGTGCCCTGGTGCTGCGGGCCCACGTCCAGCAGGACCAGGCTGTGCTGCTGGCCCGAGCTGGCCACTGTGTAGCCTGGGGTGTTGGGCCCGATCCATAGCACACCCCTCTCCACTTCCTCCCGGAGCCAGTGCACAGCGGGGGCCGGCTGTCCTGAGGAGGGAAGCAGGTGCTCCATGGGAGTGGCCTGTGTGCTGGCCTCCCAGGGACAGGGCGCACCCCCGGGGCAGGACCCACTCAACCCCCAGAGACAGCCCAGACCCCAGGACAAGTCCAGTCCTCCTCCTCTGGGAGACAGGGCCAGTGCCTGCTTCCAGGCCTGCAGGGACAAGGTCTCTGGGGAGGGTGCTATCTCTGACTCTCGGTGAGGCGGGGGCATCACTCCAACAACTGCCTACCTTCTACCTTCACAGAAAACGTGATGCTGGAGCCCCGCTTCACCTTCCTGGGGGTGAACCTCTCCAGGATCCGGGGTGGCACCAGCTGCTCGTGCACATCTGGAAGGTGCGAGTCACTCACTGGTGGGCATCCCAAGCACCTCCACCATGCCTCTGCCCCTGCATGGCCCAGGCCTCCCCCTGGGCCCCTCTTCCAGCCCAGAGCCAGGGCGGTGTCCAAGCCTACCCACTAGGGCAGTTTACCTGGCGCCAGCTCCTCCTTGGGCTCCTCGGGGCCTGGAAGACACAGGGTCAGACATCAGCACTCACCGGCCCCCTTGGCCATGGGAGGCGCTGTGGGACCCAGGTCACGCTGTCATGGGCACAGGCTCCGACCCTTTGCTGGGCCATCAGCCAGGAAGCCGGCCCACACACTCGGTGCACAAGGGCTTGCTGTCCCCTCATCCCCCCAGGGGCGGGGGCCTCAGCTAGCGCCATCGCCATGGAGTGGACCCCGGTGCACGTGGCAGCCGAGGGTCACACTTGGGACTAACTTCCAGCGAAAAGAGGAACGTGTGGGCCTTTCTTTGCCAACGTTCTTGCTCTGCCTGTTTCCATAAGGGGCCCAGCCCCTCTCCCACAGACACCTGCCCGCTCCAGCCACAGTGGCAGTGCCCCCAGGGGACACTGTCTGAGGGCTGCATCTCCACCCTGGCCCTGGGCACCCACCGCAGACCAGCAGCCGGGCGGACGAGTAGGCGGGGCCCATGGCGTTGCTGACGTAGGCTGAGTACTGGCCGGTGTCCTCCCGGGTGACTGTGACTATCTCCAGGGTGTGCAAGCTCTTCTTGTCTGTCATTCGGATGTGGGCGGACGCAGCCAGGGGCTGGCCATCTTTGAACCAGTACAGCCTGGGGGCTGGGGAGCCTGGGAGCAGAGGGCAGCAGTCAGCACAGGGCCGGTGTGCATGAGTGCCAGGCCCAGCCCAAGGCCACCGCCAGCAGGCACCACACTTCCAGAGCAGGAGGCCCCAAACCACCGCGACTGTCTCTCGTGTACCCCGCACACCCACCTGAGCCCCACTGGCAGCCCCATACCCCAGGCCTCACCTTTCACCCTGAGCTGGAGCTTGGCCAGGCGCGTGCCTGGAGCCACCTGCAGGTCCTTCAGTTCCTCCACCACCTGAGCTGGCTGCCCCTCATCTGACTCCGTGCCCTCCTGCTCCCGGCTGGCAGGAAGGACAAACAGGGGCAGCCACTGAGTGGACCAGAAAGAGGGGCCAGGGAGGGACCGCGGAGGTAAAGGTCAGATGTGAGTGGACTCTGGGCTTGGAGCAGAGAGCACTGGGCCTGCCTGGAGGCTCTAGGGTCCAGGGCCAGTCCACACCCGCCCGGCTGAGCAGCACAGCCCTGGACATCAGCCACTGGGCTTGGCTGTCTGATGACCACCGCACAGCCAGGTGTCCCCAGGGCCCCACATGGCCCCACCTGGACAGGTATCCCTGGGCGCTGAAGTAGGACGAGGTCTCCGTGGCATCCGCCGCGGTGTCGTAGTCTGTGCTGGTCACTGGGGACAGAAGGGGAGCTGGAGGCAGCCAAGGACACAGCGGAGCCAGAGACCCTCGGCCTGGCGCTGTGAGAGGAGCAGCTGCCTCGCGCCTCCCCGCCCCTGGCAGGCACCAGCCACGGCTAACTCCCATCTCTCTGACCAGACAGGCTGGAGGGGCCTTTGGGAGGTCCTGAGGTGAAGCCTCAAGACCAGGGTCACCGCCCTCAAAAGCGAGCCGGGCACGGTGGTGCAAGTTTGAAATCCCAGCACTCAGGAGACTGAGGCATGAGGCTCTAGACCAGCCCAGACTTCACAGTGAGACCCCAACTCAAGACAAAACAGGAAAAAAGGGGCTAGGGATGTGGCTCAGTGGTAGGCGGTAGAGCACTGGTTAGCATGTACAAGGCCCTGGGTTCAATCTCCAGGGCCACAGTAAAATAAAACAAAAAATGCAAACTTAAGAAAAACTATAAATCCAAAGTTGCTGGCAGCTCCGTGAACACCGAGGAAGAGAAACACGGTATTAGGGTACAGCAAAGGGAACTGCCATCAAATCGCCACGCAGCAGCAACAAAGTGTGAGGTCCCCTGCCCCCCACACGGCCCCAGAGCTTGTGGCCTCTGTCCCACTTCCTAGGAAGGCACCGCCAGACAGGAGGTGGCTCTGCCCTGCCCAGCCCAACACCCGGGTCCTGGCTGCCCACCGGGCATCACTCACACTCCACACGGAGCTCAGCCTTGGTGGAGGAGACGCCCATGCTGTTCTCGGCCAGGCAGCGGTAGACGCCCATGTCCGCGGGCACCACAGCAGTGATGATGAGCTGCTGGCCTCCCTGCTGGTCCTCGTTGATCATGTAGTGGTCGTCCTCCTCCAGCAGCTTCCCGTCCTTGAACCAGCGCACGCTGGGCAGGGGCTGGCCTGTCACCACGCAGTCGAAGCTCGCAGGGTACCCATCCTGCACCTCTTGGTTCTGCAGCTCCGTCAGGAACACGGGGGCTGGGACAGGCAGGGGGACGTGAGTCCCCATGGGCCGACAGGCACCCTGGCCGTGCTGTCCACCCCCTGGCCCAGGCGGTGTGTGATGTGAAACACAGGGTTCTCACAGGCGCGACAGACCTGCAGGCTGAAGGGGCTGAGGCCACCCACCGCCACCCCTCCTCCCCCCAGAACTCCCTCTTGGACCCCAAGCTTCTGCCACCACAGACAAGAGGGGTGAAGGAGAGGGGCAGGTGGGAAAGGGGGTGGGCCTGTGAGCGGAGAGATCTGAAGTGTGGAAGTGCTCAAAATCCAAGGGAAGCGTCAGGTCATCACCTAGAACCTGCTAACGGCCCTGAGACACTCGAGGGAACGTTGAGACCGATTCTCGGATTCTCGGTTACGCTCCATCACCAGATGCTCCGTGTTACACCCCAGAGTCTTGTTAAGGGAAACACACCCCCAGGAAGCAAGTGTTCATGTTCTCACCACAGGTGGGGACCTGAGGCTCGGAGAGGCTGAAGCAGCTGCCCTACCTAGGGCACACAGCACTTCCCCTTCCCACCTGGCGGGCGGCACTCTCCCGACCGCTTCTCCAGGCCCCACCAACTGCCCCACCTCCCCCACCTGAGCTGCAGCTCCAGCCTGGTCGCGGCAGCTGCCCACTCACCAGCATCAGACGGCTGCAGGCCGGGCGCTGCTTCCCGAGGCATGGCAGAGGCGGGTGCCACCTTGCCCATGCGCATCTCCACCGCCCCAGGCCCCTGCTCCGTAAGGCTGATGTCCACCCTGACGCCCATGGTGGCAAACATGTTCCGAAAGCGGGCGGCGGCCCGGCGGGCCTCGGCAAGTGCTTCGAAGCGGATGCAGATGAAGTGTTCCTCTTCGCGGTACGTCTGCCTGTCATGGGCAGGCTCCCCCAGCTCTGCAGGGCCCTCATCTGCGCTGAGGAAGAGCTCCGCATCCAAGACCTCGGCTGGGCCCTTGGTGCGAAAGAGCCGGTGCAGGCGCCTCGCTGCCCGGCGGAAGGCTTCGTCCAGCTCAGTCCCCGAGGAGCTCTCAGCCTCGCTGTCCGTGCCGCTGACCACCACACAGGCGCTATGGCTCACCTGGCCAAACCTGCTGCTCACCCGACACGTGTAGCGGCCAGCATCAGCACGACCCAGGCCAGTGACCAACAGAGAGCAGGTGCCGTCCCCCCGCTGGTCCATGTGGTGGTGTCGCCCATCTGCCAGCTCCATGCCATCCTTCAGCCAGCAGGCCCGCACGTCTGCCTTGCTGGCCACTACACACTCCAGCCGCAGGGCGTCTCCCACTTGTGCCTCCGTGTCCCCAAAGGTGCGGGAGAAAACGGGCCCTTCTTGCTGCTTCATCTCCTTGCGGACCTTGTAGCCCTTGAAGGCAGCTTGGATCTTCACAGCCGCTCTGTCCATGGAGGGGTCGCCCAGACCCTCAGCGCTCGAATCCCCTGGAGGCGGGTGCACAGTGGCGGGCTGCTCCTGCTGTCTCTGGGACTTCACAGAGGGGGCAGCTGGGGCCCCAAGCTGGGGGCACAGTACAATTTCACAGTAGGGCAGGGAAACAGGGCAGGTGTGCAGGGTCAGGGCCCAGCACTCTGTCCTGTCCCCCCCGCCACTGGCAGCCACAGACACAAGTACAAAAGAGAAGGGGGAATGTACGGATGGATGGTGCATGGGGGCGGATGAACAGAAGGTGGATGCTTGTATGGATGGATGAATGGGTAAAGAGAGGGGCAGATAAACGGGTGAACTGGAAAACAGGTGCAGAAGTGGTAGGTAAGTAGCAGATGGGGGGTAGTGGACAGGCCAACAAACGATTGATGCGTAAGCAGTTAAACCGGTGCGTGGATGCAGGAGCAACAGATGGTGGATGAGTAAATGGAGGAATTTAACACCAGACAGATGAACGGATCAAGCACGGATGGGTGGGTGGATGACGGATGGGCAGGCTAAATGGGCAGATGAAAGCCGGTGGGAGATCGCGGATAGAAGGATGGACGGATGAGTGTCAGATGCACCAAAGGACAGTGGAAAGGACAGTGGCTGCACGGAAGGGCTGTGAGTGGACGGGAGGAAGGATGTGCACAGGGACGGGACGGTAGGTCCGGGACACACAGGCCTCTCCTGGGCCAGGCGGGAGGCTCACCTGACGGGCCAGGAGCGAGGCCCCAGGCCTGCCAGCCTTCTTGAGGTAGGTCACCAGAGAGGGGGTGCCTGCCCGTGACTCGTCGTCCGAGCTGGTGTGCGAGAGGTCAGCCTCTCCGGTTCGAGCCAGCTCATCCGCCGTGGAGTAGCCCTCAGAGAGGTCAGGGGCCACCTCCTCTACCTCCTGCCGCAGGCACTGCACACGGCTGGCCTCCTCGGGCAGCTCACTGATGGAGTCCAGCGTGGGCTCACGGCTCATGCGGCGCTTCCGGGCCAGCGCCTCCCAGAGCAGGTGCAGGTCGCCCTCCTGGGCGGCCTCAGGAGGCAGGCTGGGCTGCACGGGGACCTCGTGCCCAGAGTCGGGGCTCAGTGCCACTGAAGAGAGCAGGAGACCAGTCAGCAGGCCAGGACGGATACGGCCCAGACCCACCTTCGCAGCTGACCAGCATGGGCCCTCAGCACCCGACCCCTCCCAGTGCTCCCCAGGCCGGCTTGTCTGTCTCGTGCGTGGGCACCGGACGACCAAAGGAGACAAATCTGTCAGGTCCAACCGGGCTAGGCAGCCCTCCCTCGCCCTGCTACTAGGAGAGGAGACAGAGATGCACAGAAGACTCAGTCCACCGTCAGCCACGGAGGAGACAGCCAGTGCCTAGGCCAGACTCAGTGGGGAAAGGGGCACTGAAGCTAGGGAAGGGGGCCCCAGAGCACGGGGCAGGCTCAGGCTGGGAGTGGGGTCAGAGAGTTGGGGTGCCTCCAGGTGGGGAAGGGACGAGTGCAGGGAACGCCGGACACACTCGCACCCAGGGCAGGCTCCGTGAGCAGGCGCCACTGTGGGGGGAGCACCAGCACTCTGCAGAGGGCCATGCAGGGGTCGAGGCCAGGACGGAAGGCACAGGGACACAGGGGCTGCCCCGTGGAGGCGGGGCGGCTGGCAGAGGCACCCCCTGGCATACCCCTCAGGTCACACGATGTACCTCGCAGACCCCCCAGTCCTTCCCCACACTCCAAGCCCAGGACGTACCCCGGAAAGTGGAGGGACCACAGCAGTACTCGCCCTGGTCTTCCGCCCTGAAGTCCCTGATCACCAGCATCTGCTGCCGGCCACGAGAGACCACCTCAAAGCGCCCGCCGTGCTGGATGCGCTCTGTCCCCTTGTGCCACACAAGCTCTCCGGCCTCGGCTGCCACCTCCAGCTCCAGACAGACATCCTCACCAGCTGCCACCTGCCGGGACTCGGGGGCCACAGGCCCGGGAGGCCCGGGAGGCCCGGGAGGCCCGGGCTCAGCAGACTCTGTGGGGACAGCACACGGACAAGGACAGCAGAGGACAGGCCCATCAGCCCAGCTGCACTGGGGGCCAGCCACACCCGACTCGGGGGAGGAGGCCACTCACCCAGCCGGACCATCTGGGGCAGGTGCACAGGCTCCCCTGCGCCGGCCGGGCCCACAGCGGCCACTCGGAAGCGATAGGTCTCCCCAGGGGTCAAGCCGTCCACCACACACTCCGGCCCTGGCACCAGCTCGTGCCGCAGCTGCCACTGGCCCGCGGACCCCTCCTTCATCTCCACCCGGTAGCCACAGAGACCCCCACCGCCGTCACTCATAGGGGCTGCCCAGGACAGCGTCACCGCGTGGGTGCTGCGTGCCACGACCTCAGCATCCTCCGGTGGGTCAGGGAGTCCTGTGGAGAAGAGGAGGTCAGCGAGCCCACAGGGCCTGCAGCCCTCAGCAGACACCGGGCACTGGCACAGGGCCTGCCCTGACTTTCATGAGCCTTACGGACCAGGGCACATGGCATGGAGAGACTGTGCCCAAGCCCACTTGGGGTGGAGCCACGAAGAGCCCCCGTGCCTCATGCATGACAGGCCCTCATTCCTCCTGCCCAGCCCCCTGCCTGCAGGACCCCACGATGCCTGCAGGAGGAGCTCCCTGAGGTCCACGAAGGACCCAGCTGTCTGCGTGACCCACCTAGCACGGATAGCCATGCAGAGGCCACAGCTTCTCGGGCAGCAAAGGTGACCTCGCCAGCATGGCACGGACGGGCACAGCGCAGCCACAGGGCATGGTGGCTGCCATCAGAGGTCACTGTCCAGTCTGCATCGTCGGCGAGCACTGCCGTACCATTGAGGTACCAGGTGGCTTCACCCATGGGCACTGCCTCACTGAGCATGCAGGAGAAGTGGGCCTGGTCACCGGCCCGGACCGCCACATCGCGCAGGGGTTCCAAGACCTCCAGACGCCAGCCTTCAGGATGGAGTGGGGGGGTGAGTGGGGACCACTGGCAGGGCCACCTGGCTGCAGGGTCTGGGGTAGTGCCCCCTGCCAGCAGCCTGCAGAGCCTTGGCTAGGAGTGGTCTGAAGCCCCATTTCCCAGCCCCCTCCCCAGCCCCGGTGCCCCTGGGTACAGCTGCCTGGAGAGAATCTCAAGGGCTGATGACTCCTTTCCTGGCGAGGCCAGGCAGAGCCCCTGGGGACAGGGCTTCAGAGACACCCCTTCCATGCCTGTGCCCAGCGCCCTGCCCCACCGGTAGGTGGGGCATCTGCCCAGGCTCCGCCTGCTGCTTCCTCCTCCAGCCTCCCAGCCTCCAGAGAGGCAGGGGTCTCAAAGCTCAGCCTGCCCCGTCCCACCTTACGCCCTGACTCACCTCTAACGGTGAGAAAGGCAGAGGTGACCACATCCCCGGCCAGGAAGGTGACCTGGCAGCTGTCCTGTGGCCGCAGGTTCTTGAGCAGCAGCAAGTGGCGCAGACCACCCTCAAAGTAGACAACCTCGGCATTCTCTGACGTGTGCACAGGCTCGTCGTCCAATAGCCACGTGTGCGCTGCCACCTCAGGCCGCGACAGTTGGCACTCAAACAGCGCCTCGGCCCCCTCAGGCACATCCACATTTTCCAGGCCACGGACCACTGTGTTCTTTGCTGCGGGGAGGGACAGCAGCTCAGGGGTGCAGGGTCCCTAACACTGTGCCCCAGGAGAGCACCCAAACAACACGAGCCCAAGCAGAATGCTCCCCATAAGCACCTCTGGTGGCATGGGGTACCTGGCGGCTTGAGACATCTCCACCTCCCAGGCATTCAGAAGACAGAGGAGCACAACCTGCCTGGCTTGGCCCCAGCAACAGGCTGAGCCTGGCCTCCGCCCATGGCTCCCTGTGCACCGGGGCCAGTGTGCCCCAACAGCACTCAGGCCTGTGGTGCCTCAGGACCTTCTCCTCACTTGCTCTCAGGAGACACCAGCCCAGGCCACAGCCCATTCTCCCTCCTTGCTACACACTTGTCACAGAAGCCACGCTCGGCAGCCGGCAGCCCTAACCCGGCTCCACCTCATGCCCAGTGGGACAGGCGCACCACCTCCCAAGGTTGTCCTGCCCGTTCAGGTCGCCTGCCTCGAGGGCTGCCACCACCTGCCCTCCATGCCCTGCCAGCTGCAGCTGCCTGCTAGGCGCCTCACCTTGCACTTGTAGCAGTGCCACCACTCGGGTGCCCGCAGCCTCACAAGAATAGATGCCACTGTCACAGGGCAGGGCCGGCCTGAAGGAGAGCCTGGCCACGGTCCAGTCCTGCTCTGTGACGACACGCTGCCCATCTGCACACACCTCCCGCTCGTCCATCTTCCACGTGGCCTGCACGGGCCGCGAGTACTGGCAGAGGAGCTCGGCTGAGCTGCCCTCCTCCACCACCAGGTCCCGCATGGCACTGACCACCTCCACCATGGGATCTGTCGGCCAACACGCCGGACACCGTCAGCGCTCCAGCCAGCACCACGTGGCCCTCCCCTCCACCATCCGCGTTAGTGGCCTGACGGCAGTAAGCACACAGCATTGGTAGGCGACAGCACGGCCATGGCTGCCTGCCTGTGCTGGTGACAGAAGACAGCCCCTGTTGCAGATGGCCCTGGCCACGCCACTCAGTCCTGCGGGAACTCGTCTTGCTCTGAGCTCTTCTCCTCCAGGAGCCTGCAGGCCCTGGTTCAGCACCTCTGCCCCTCCAGTAGCCTCATCAGCCCCCTGGAGGCCCAGCCCACCCCCAGCTGCTGAAACTACTCAGCGTGGCTACTGACCCCAAGGACCTGATGGCCCTCTCCTTGTCTTCTACAGCACAAGGAGGCCTCTTCACCGAAGCACCAGGGCAGTGACTGCCCTCCCTGTCCAACTAGCTCTAAGTCAGGTGGACACAGACCCCAGTGGAGTCCACAACAGGGACAAAAGTGAGCAGGGCCAGGTCAGGGCCTGGGGTAGGGGCCTCTCCTCCCAGAGGCCAGGAAGGACCCCTCAAGCCTGGCCTTTCCAACTGGGGAGCTGCAGCCAGCAAGGTGGCGGCCAAGCAGACAGCAGGCCACCGACCTGCACAGCAGGGGCACAAGGCCAGCATCCAGCTGGACAATGCCCTGAGCTGGAAGTGAGACAGGACCTGCCCTGGGCAGACAGCACACACAGGCCCTCCCACTCCCCAGAAGCCCACAGGAAGCATGCGGGCAATGGGACAGAAGCACCAGCTGAGGGGTCCCCGCTGGCTGATACCTTTGACCAACAGCTTGGCTGTGGACACCAAGGGCCCAGTGCAGAAGGTAACGGTGCCTGAGTCGGCCAGCCCCAGGCCTGAGAGCATGAGGGAATGGACGGTCCCATCGCGCACAGCGATGGTGCTCTGGGGGCTGTGCTGCAGCGGGGCGCCATCCAGCCACCAGCGGGCCTGAGGCGACCCTGCCCGGGACACCTCGCAGGAGAACACAGCCGTCTCCCCTGCGAAGACATCCACATTCTGCAAGCCTCGGACCAGGCACAGTGCTGCCTCTGCGCAAGAAGGCAAGAAGGAGGCTGGGCTGGGGTGCCCGGGGTCTTCCAGGTGGGGCCAGTGGTTCAGTGGTGGAACGGGGTGCAGCACTGGATTGGTCCTTGTCTCTCAGTGGTCCAGAGAGACAGGACTGTCTTGGCTGACCTGGCTTAGGCAGATGAGGGATCTCAGGCGGGGCCCTAGATAGCTTCAAGATGCAGCTGCCACCAGGAAGCCCAAGTCCAGCCCGGCCCAGCAGCCTCTGGGATGCAGGGCGGCAGGAGGTAAACCTCTGTGAACGGACTCCGACAGATCTGCGGAGCTCCCCACCGCGGCGCCTGGACGGCCTGGATCTCCGTGCACCCTACCTCTGCACTTATGGCCTCTGCATCCCTCTCGTTCCTGAGTGGACCCTCTGTAACAAACTGGCCATGAGCTGTCCCACAAACTGATGACAGCTGCGCAGCAGTGCTGGTATAACCTGGGATCTGCAGTTGGCATCCAGAGGGGGCAGCCTTATGGGACTGGAGCCTCACAAGGTGGGGCCTGCGTGACCTCTGGATAGACAGCGTCAAAACAGAATTATAGGACAACCACGTGGTGTCTGATGTGGAACAAAGCCACACACATTCAGCATTCTAGTCGAGCATCATGTGGTGAGAAAACAGTGAGCATACTGTACTCCCAAGGAGTGGGAGGGCCACTGTGTGCTGTCTGCCTGGCAGGTCAGAACAGGAAGTGCTAGGACAGTCCTGAGGCCTGCCTTGGATCTGACGCCACCGAACCCAGGAGGATCATCTGAGCTGGGGTCTGGAAAGCCACCCAGCCAGCTGACCTACGCTGGTCCCAGAGGACATCACAGGTGCCACCCACTGTGAGCCCACAAGGAGGCTCAGCCCCAGCACAGCCCCCAGCACCCCACACCCTGTACGAGGCAAGGCAGCATGGATGAGCTCTTTGTGGCTTGGGCATCCCTCTGCCCCAGGGCTGCTGCTCCCAGGGGGTCCCTGTGGGAAGTGACCCCTCCATCCCCGGTCTGGGGAAGTAGGTGCTCCTTTACCCCGGGAGGAATTGTGTCCAGAGGTCCCTGAGGATTCCAGGGGCCTGACACTGGCTTCAGCTGCTCCCTGCCTATCACATGACGGGGTCCACACTCAGGGGGCTCCCCAGTTGCCCCATGCTGCCCACACAGTCCCGTTCTTCCTGTCCCCTCTCAGCCAGACATTCAGGTAGCCTCCACAGATAGAGGAAGAGAGGCTGAGACTCCTAGGCCAGCGACACACACATGGCCAGCCCCCACACCCCAGGCTAGAGAAGGGCAAGACCAAAAGCTTCCTTCACAAAAGAAAGAAGACACCCGCAACCTGGCCTTGTATCTGCGCACTTGGCACATGGCAGCCTGGGCCTCCTTTTAAGACAGAACCGTCCACAGCTATCAAAGTTCAGCCGCCTCCACCCTGAGGGGTACAGAGTGATGAGGTGGGCAGGAGCTCCTTGCAGATACCAGTACCAAACAGGATGAGGCTGGCCAGGGAGCCGCACACCCTCCACAAGACCTCTTCAGGAGCTGCTCCACTCTCTTCCCCACTGACACTCCCACACTGGCCCCCAAAGGCAACCTGACCCCCTCCCCTCCCTGCGTGTCTACTCCTACCTGGATGCCCACTCGCACAACCATGCCCACGGCTCTCCCAAAGCCAGATTGGTGGCACAAGCTGACCTACCCAGGATGGGGAAATCTGGCCTAGGGCAGGGATCCTCACCACCCGCACAGCGCTCACCCCGTGAACACCACACCTGTCCTGCACTGCTTGTTCTTGGGATACCTATGAGTGCCCCGCTCTATCCCTCAGCTCATGGGCACTGGTCCTTGCCAGCCCCTCCCAGCCCCACAGGCCACAGAACTGACCATGTGACCCCTCATCTCCAGTTTCAGGGCAGGGGAGCATGGGATTCAGAATCCACTGTCTCCCTGTCTAGCTCCATTAGCAGACTAGGACTTCCACAAGGGCAAAGCAACACAGGTTCATCTTGAGGTCTAGGACTTGACCAAGGACATGGATTCAGAGGGTCTGTTCAATGGTGAATGGATGAGTAGTTGGCTTCTGGGTGGACAGATGGGTGGGTGGCTGGATAAATCCATGGATGGATGGTAGAAGGGTAATATCAGTAAGTGGGTGGTGGGGCAGATGGATGAGTGGATGGGTGAATGGATGATTAATGGATGATGGGTGGTGAATAGATGAATGGATGATCAATGGATAGTTGACAAATGAGGGGTAAATAGATAAATAGATGGTGGAGGGGTAGCCAAATGTGAATATGGATGATGGACAAATGGAAGGGGGAGAGGTAGATGGGTAGATAATGGGTGGGTGAATGGATGAACAATGAGTGGGCTGCTGGGACCAGTTTGAGAACCAAGAGTAGGACAAGAAGGGAAGGGCACTTAAAGCAAGCACTCAGCCAACCAGCTCTGGGAGCAAAGCACAACCCAACGTGAAGGTTCCTAAAATCCTGTTTGTGTGCTGGGGTCATGTCTACTATGCCCGAATCCATACATGCACCGGGGCTGTGCTGCTGAATCCACACCTCTGAGCCTGCCGGGTGAGCAGTGTGTGTTAACGTGGACGTGCACGCACAGGTACAGCCTGTGTCACAGAGGTCAGGAAGGCCATCTCCACCTCAGGGCCCACGCCCACAGCAGCCAGGCTCTGCACCTCCGGCCTGCAGACAGTCCTGCCCTGGGGCCCCACACACCACAGAATTTCTCAAGGAGGCCTTCACCAGCTCACCCTAGTGGCTCTCCCTGGCTCTAGTGACCAGAGCTTGGGAAATTGCCAGCCTGGAGCAAGATCGCTGCAGAAAGTTTTGGGTTTCCACCGCTCTCCACAGATGCCACGGGTACCATGCTGCCTGCCCAGGGAGCATCTCCAGGGAAGGACTGGACGTGCAAGCAGCTGCCCACCTGTCACTATCAGCTGGGCTTCCGAGCTACAAGATCCCACTTGGAAAGTGACAGTTCCAGCATCATCGAAGGTCACCTAAGGAGGCAGAGAAGCTGCTTGACCCTGGCGGCCTCATTCTGACCAGGAGTGCCAACCCATCCCCCACCCTCCGATGGGGACTCATCAGTTCCCCAGCCCCATCTCCTCGAAGAGGTCCTTCCCAGGCGGAACCTGACCTTCCTGACCCAGGAAGGAAGGTCCTGGAGCCCCACCTTGCGCAGGGTGAGTGAGTGGAGCATGCCCTGCTCCACAGCGATGTCGTTCATCTCGTTGGCCTGTAAAGGCACCCCAGCCAAGGTCCAGCGGGCCTCCTGGCCCAAAGCCCTGGATAGCCGGCACTGGAAGTGTGCATCCTGGCCCTCGCTGAGCTGCACGTTCTGCAGGGGCTCCAGAATGGTCACCTCAGGGGCTGGACATGGGGAGGTGTGGGCATCAGCCACCATGTCTGTATTCAAGAGGCACCCATTCAGCAGGGGTCCTGCCCTGCATCCCACCCAAGCTTCTGACAATAAACCCAAGGGTGGGTGTTATCAGCTCCTCCCTAGCCCACGCTGACCTGCCAAGATGCTGGAGGTGACCGGGGCGGGGCTGCCCCTCACAAGGACCAGGAGACAGGGAGTGAGCCCAACACTGGGGAGCCCCCCACAATCCCCTGCCTGCGCCTGGCTCAGCCCTCAGCCAGGACCTCTCCACCCTGACACTCTGGGGGCACAGGAAACAGCCTGGCCCAGGCTGCCTCCCTTGCAGCACCCAGCCTGCAGATTCCCTCCCAAGAGCAGGACTAGAGGCGGCTAGCACCTCGCACGGTGAGCTGAGCAGAGGATGTGTGGCCGCCCACATGGAAGGAGACGGTGCCGGTATCCTCGGGTGTCACGCCCTTCAGCTGGAGGACGTGGGTGCGCCCGTCCCGCACGACCATCTCTGTCACCTCGTTGGCCTGCAGCCGCAGCCCCTGGAGATGCCACTGCACATCTGCAGCCACAGCCTGCGACACCTCACAGCTGAACTCCACATCCTCACCAGCCTGCGCCTCAGCGTCCACCAGCCCCCGCACGATGGTCACGTCGGGCTCTGGGGGACGAGAGAAGCCTCTTGCAGCCCAGACCACACTTCTGCAGCCTTGGCTCTGGGAAGCTGTCTTGGTCACCAGCACCCTTTGCCACCCCACTCACCTGGCACCTCCTGTCCTCACCAGCACCTGCCTCCCCTCAAGCCAAGGGGCCAACCTGTCTGCGAGACAGCGGATGCCCACCCTGCCCAGCACTGCCACCCTCGCTATCCTGGCCAAGCCACTAGATCAGGAAAGCAAGACCCGGAGGAGCAGCTGCCCATGCAGGCCTGGCTGTGCCACCTGCTGGCTGGAGACAGGAGACAGGGTGGGTAGCTGCTCAGGACTACAGGCTCGGTGTACCCTCCTAACATTCCTCACATGGAGAACAGCCACAGACAGGGCAGGGACGAGGAGAAAGGCAGCCTGTGTTCCCAGGGCCGGGGCCACCTGAAGCATGTTCCCCAGGAAGCAGGGTGGCAGGACAGCTCACCATTGACCCTGAGGGAGGCTGAGGTCTTCTGGCTGCCCACTGCACATGCATACTCTCCGGTGTCCTTGGCCTCCAGCCCATGGATCAGCAGCTCACACATGGCCCCCTGGCACCGCATCTCATACTTGGGGCCGGCACACAGCTCTATGCCCTCTTTGAGCCACCGAACTGGGGCCCCGGGCTCCACCTCACTCAACTGGCAGCACAGCCTGGCCATGCCGCCTGCTTCCTGCTCCACACTCTGCAGCTCAGTCTGGAACCTGGGCTTGGGAGCTGGGAGAGAAAGGGACTCTCGATGCCAGGCTCCCAGCTTCCCACCCCAGTGGGCAAATGCCCTGTTGGCTCTCAGGATGATGGAGAGGAGCGGGTTACCTCGGACCGTGAGATGCACCGTGCTCTGCCCGTGGCCTGTGTCACATGTGTAGTCGCCTGCATCCTCCGGTTCTGCTCCACACACTTGCAGCTCAGCAGCCAAGCCTTCCTGCAGCATTTGGTACTTGGCACAGGGGAAGAGCTGCAGGGCACCCTTTCGCCACTCCAGGGTGGCACCTGCCTGGCTCAACTCACAGCGCAGGTGTGCTGTGTCCCCCTCCGCCACTTCCTGGGCCTGCAGCTCCCTCAGGAACCGCACAGGTGCCGCTGCGGAGGGTTGGGGCAAGCATGAGGGCAAAGGAACCAAGGACCTCTGCAGGGTGCAGCCAGGAGGAGTGAGGGACCATGGCAGGGCAGGAAGGTGGCTGCAGACCAGTTCTGGGGTGGCTGGGGAGCTAGGGGTATACCCAGGATGATGATGTGGGGCTGGGTGGCTAAGGCCACCTGGAGGAAGTGCACAAGGCAAGCAGGGGAGGAAGTGGGGAACCCACAGGGCAAGGAGCAGGAGAGCAGGAGCCTGAGCGGCCCAGGCACAGGGACATGGGGCCCAGCCACGGCTGGGACGTCGCAGGTGTAGGTGCGTGGACAGCACCCAGGGAAGTCCACCCTCCCTTTCCTTCAGCAAGGCTGCAGCCTGGCTCCACAGAAGTGGTGCCCACCTGTGACCGTGAGCATGGCGCTAGTGGCCTGGGCCCCACAGGTGCAGCTGTACTCGCCCATGTCCTCCCGGCACAGGTCCTGCAGCATGAGCTCTGCAGTGCAGCCCCACCGGCTCAGCTCCCGGCGCCCGTCAGCCTGCAGCTCCAGTCCACCCTTGCTCCAGACCACTGGGACATCAGGCACCGACAGCTCGCACCGCAGGCTGGCTGTGGAACCCTCCTCTGCCTGCAGGTTCTGCAGCGGCTCCCGGAACATGGCCTGAGGGGCTGAAAGCAGCGGCAGCTTGAGACCCGCACACCTGGCCCAGGGCAGCACCCCAGGACTGAAAAGGGGTCACAGGTCTTGGGGGCCTCAAGGACAAGGGAAGGAAAGAAGACATAGCCAGGACTTCTCCAGTGACCGCCCAGAAACTCAGCCCTCCCAAGGCTGTGTGCCCAGCACTCAGGGCAGGGTTTCCCCTCAAGACCACTCAGGGCAGGCTCTTGTCCCCCAAGACCACACCCGAGGACACGGCCCTGCTCCTCCTGGGCTCCAGGACAGGGCCATGTCCCTCATATATCAGGGAAGGCTGCATCGCCTCCCAGAGCCACCTCTGAGGGCATGGCCATGTCCCACGGTCTCCAGGGAGGGCAGGGTACACCCTTCAGAATCCTAAGCAAGGCTCCGTGCCCCCGGGCAGAGATCCAGAGGTGTGGCAGGCACTAATACCCCACAGGACACACAGCGCATCCACGACAGGTTGCAGAGCTCATCATGAGGACCACCTCCTGCCCTGGCATCACAGTCACCGGCCAGAGAAAAATCTTGGGGAAGCATGGGATGCAGAGCCTCAAAGAGACAGGGGCAGGGGTAGGGTGACTAAGGACCACAGGGAGAGAACTGTGCCACCCACGAAGTCTGGCTGGGAGAGATCTTTCAGGAGATCAGTACAGACAACACAACATGAGGCAGGGCCATGACAAAGGCCAGAAAAAACAGGGCGACACAGCAGAAGACAGATGGGACGGCACTGTGGCAAAGGGAGAGAGGACAAGGCCCAGACACGAAGCAAGAGCAGAATCCCACGTTACAGGGTGGCAGAGGGACGTTACCCCTGACGGTCAGCGAGGCTGAGGTCCTCTCCTGCCCACACAGGCACGAGTACTCCCCAGCGTCTGCCTCGGCCAGGCCACGGATCTGCAGCTCACACACGGGCCCGTCCT